AAAAAGTTAGTCATACATCAGTATTAAGGTTAAAGAAGAAACAAGAAAAGGAAAAGAAAAAAAAAAGAGGAATAAACTTTTTATCTATAATTATTTTGTGCTTTGTTTTATCACTACTTTTATGTATCTTTATACAAGACATTCAACTCCAATCTAGATATGGATCGTCGTGTCTTTCTCAGATAAATGTTAAGTATCGACCGTAGCGAAACATAAACGAAATTTACAGATGCCAAACTTCAAATATAACTTTACCCTCTAAATGCTCACATCAAGTAAAATAATCTTTTTTTTCTTTTTTTATTTTTTTTTCTCACACAACCAACAACTTTATAAAGCACTAACGTCACCCAAGTAAGGTATCATGATGGAGTTTATTAGGCGTAGCCAATCTAGTGTCACATTTCAAGTAGTTATTTTCAAATTTTCTCATTCTGGGGGGCAAACATCTGTTTTCTTGGGAATACCGCCGTCAAGGAGGATGATGATGATGGAGGGATATATTATCCGTGCCCTCGTGGCAGTGTAAATACAGAAATGAAGGACCCGAAGAATAATTAGCGCCACCACCAGCTACCTTTCTCTGTGATTTATCCTTGGCATTCTATATATGATTATTTATCACGTAGAATGTTTTTTTTATGTTTGAGTTTCCGGATGAGTGTTGTCTCGAATGGTTTGACAGTGTTGCTTTGAATTACTGTGGTACTCTTTATAACCTTATGTTGTACGGACAACTCTACGTATCTTTGTATATGTAGTTGACGTTACACACGGTGACTGCGTACCCGAGTGTTCACCCATCTATGGAACCACTGTATATACCATACACTAATATTCTTTCTCTTTTATGTTCTTATCATTCCCATTTGTCTGTTCCTTTCTTTTGTTTCTTGTAGATTTGCTGTTTAAAAGCTACAAAGCAAGCATACCTATATATCCATTATACACGACTGTGAGACAATGACCCGACAGATGCACGTCTCACTGTTTCTCCTGCTGCTGTTGTTTCTATTTGTACAGTTGTGCAGCACGAGTGGAATCCTCGCCGAGGAGTCTGCTGGAGTTGTGCAGAATTTGCCCCAGGAGGGGCAGGGCGCATCATGGGTGTACACCATTGTTACAACGAACCGAACGTTTATCCGCATAAATACCTCAACACTGGACTTGACCAAGGATAATTACTGCAGTAAGGGCGAAAAATCGTCGAAGCCAGACTTGAATGAAGAAGATGATCAGTGCCAAGGTCAACTTTTTCTTTCTGAGGAAATGAAAAAGACTTTTCTCGACACAATTCTTCCTGCTGCCATTAAACTACACGCGGATCGTCTGCTTGTTGACCCTGTGGAAGGTCCGTTGAAGGTTCCTGACTTTGAAGAGGGCAGTGTTTGCAAGAACTTTACTGTTCCTGATGGTCACCGTAAAGAGGGTGTTGAGAATGCTGACATGGTGCTCTATGTTGCAGCGAGACCAGAAGAAGCGTTTGGTGTTACCTGTGCTTATGATGATAAGTCTGGTCGACCTGTTGCTGGGGCGATAAATGTTCAGATATATCCCCTCAAGATGCAGCGAAATAATGTGCGTCGTGTCGCGCATGAGATTGCACATGCACTTGGATTTGACTATAAGGTGTTTGAGAAAAATAATATGGTGGCTAAGATTGAATCTAAAGGTACAAAGGGGCGTGTGGTGGTGAAGTCAAATCAAACGAAGAAGATGGCACAGAAATATTATAACTGCAATGAACTGGAAGGTTTGGAATTGGGTTATGTTGCTAAAGCCCATACTCCGGCTTGGTCGCACTTGGCCTGGAGAAACACGAATGATGACTTGATGTCCTCTATGTACTATTATGGCGCCATGCACTACTCTGCTCTAACAATGTCTGTGTTTGATGATCTACCATTTTACACAGTTAATTGGGGCATGGAGGAGTCTATTACTTGGGGCAACCAGAGTGGGTGCGAGTTGTTTAAAAGTGAATGCAAAGATGAGGGTGCCACCAAATATCCTGGGAGGTTTTGTGACATTAACGAAGGTGAGGTTGTTTATTCATGTACAAGTGATCGCCTTGGATTTGGAAGGTGTAAGGGAGTTCCTGAGGATCGGTACACCAAAGAGAATGAGAAATGCAATGTTGCCGAAATGGAACACCCTCCCAGGGGGGATAAAACGTCTTTACTTTGCAGCGAAATACCAATGTTCAATATTTCTGGGTCAATCTTTGATATGGATGATTCGCTCTGCTTGGATACAGAAAAGTACAATGCTGATGTAGTGATTGAAGTAAGGGAAAATCAAAGAGAAACAGGTACGGTGTCTTTAACTGGTATATGTGCACAGGTGTCTTGTGAAGAGGGTAAAGTGAGGGTGATCTACAACGGCATCAGCGAGTGGCAGAACTGCTCGAAAGAGGGTGAAATAATTGAGGTGAAGCCCGCGGGTTTAAACAATACCATCACAATCAAATGTCCCAAGTACAGTGAAGTGTGTACCATCCCCACTGATGGCAGCAGTCTTCTCCCACGGATTGAACCAAAACGACTGCCAGCACCAGCAATAACAACAACGACAGAAAATAATGAATCCCATCAAGAACAAGGGGAGACACCTCATACAGAAAGTGGGCATACCAACAATAATTCCAGCAGCGTGCCCACACAGAGTGCACAGAGGACACAGAACACCACCGGCGTCAATGTGTCTACAAATGACAACGTTACTGTTCCGCCGACGACTGAGGGAAATATAAACAAGGAAAATCTTACATCTCCACAAGTGAAAGGGGAGCTTAAGATTCGTATGGGTATGGATGGCACCCCGGCTGCAGCCTGTGTTCTCCACGCTCTATTTCTGCTGATGGCTGCTGCTGCTTTGGCTGTGCCTCTGTGAAGCACCCTCAAGGTGCGGACCCAGACGGCAAGGTCACAGGGCGTCGCCTCGCCTCTATTCTGATGGTGGCACGCACTCTGGGCTTTCCATTATACTTAATTTCATAAAGGTTAACATTTGCTATGTGATTTTGCTCGAAAATGCGCACATTGGATACATCTGTATCCATGGTGCTGCAGTTTTCTTTTTATTGGGAAAACATATTTATAAGCTATAAAGTTTTGAGGACAAAATTTTGATTTGGAAAATGAATGGAAAAAAACATCTTTTTTTTCTTGGGGAATGACATGGCGCTACATCTGTAGTTGCCATGGGGATTGGAATTTTCTTCTTTTTTACAATAATTTCTTTTTATATATACACACAGTTTCGGCATTGCGCGATAGGCTTCATTTCTGATTTTATGTGGAGGAGGAGCTGAGTGAAATGTTTTGATGGGTGGAAAAAACTAATGCGTAAAAAGGGAACTCTCTACTTTTTAGCCATCATATGATGTGTATTAGTTGATTACGTTTTATTTTTAAAACCTGCAGTTGGTCAACATCATCTTCTAGAAACGATAAGAACCTTTTGTTTTCTTTTTTATTTATTTTCCCTTGTAGGAAGAAAGAAAAAAACAAAAAAGCCAAAATGGGTGCGTCCCTGCGTCTATAAATTGATCACAAAGCTCCTTTCAGAATAGCAATTGCTGTTCTTGCTCGAAAGGACACTGTGTGTAGTGCGTTGTTTGCCCTTAGAACAACCACCCCAATGGTGGCATGACTCTGTGTGCACTCTTGCTGTGCGGCACAGTGCCGTCCGCGTGCTGCGAGTGACTTTGGCCTGCAGGGGTCGCTGGGGCGGTATCTGAAACGGAAGCTGCCTCGTTGCGTTGCTTGCGTGCTGGTGTGTCTGTGGATTATTATTTTGGTTGTTGCACCGGCAAAGGTGGACCTTGGGAGTGGGGAAGTGTATACTCTGGCGGGGTTTCTGTGATCTCGGCCATATTTTATTGCAGTGCCAGGTTCCAGTACCCCGTATTCTTGGAGAAGGTAAGAGGCTTGCTCCTTACAAGACCCTTATTGATGATAATGTGATTTTTATTGCCTTCCTAGTGAGACGAAACTTTATCACGCTAAAGTGTCAAGTTTCACAATCGTTGGTTATCGACGTCATTAATGAAGGTGATGTTTGCTTGAAATAAAAAGAAACACCAGCGAGATTCATCGCCACCACCACCACCGGAGCGTGGGGACGATGACAGGTTTCAATGGGGAGTTTGCCAAAAGTTCTACGTCCACTTAGCCTCCTTTTCCATCCACCGCAGCGGAAATTCCAGGATGAACAAGGAATGCTAACAAAAAGGAAATCCCCCAAATACACCCAGAGGAAAGCGGTGAAAACAAGAGACCTTCCGGGAGTAGTTTGCCCAACATGCAACTATGAGTGTGTAATAAGTGAATCAGGACTAATTCTGCAGCGCATATCATAACACGGGTATCAACCTACTCGCTTGCACACCGGCAAACGTGGTGGATGCAAAGAAACGGTACTGCATCTTTTGAGTTGTACCACCCTTCATCCAATGCGAGTACAATTTGAGATAATTGATGTACCTTTGATGGGATAATATTTTTCTAAAAATGTGCTCCGGTTTCTTTCTTATGGCTGTAGAGTAGAAATATATTATACCCCAGACTTCTCACTCCCCTCAAAGGAGAAAAGAAGAAAAAACCCCACATCATTTTCATCGCCCCCTGTATGAACTAATAACGCCTGTTTTTTGTTATTTAGAGCGGTGTATAAGAAGAAGATGATGCCTTGAATTATTTTTGTTACCTATTGGGAATTATGATAAATATCTCTCGACGTCTGAACCCATTAGGTTCTCTGCAAATTGAGGTCGTTATCAGTTCTGATATATCTGAACTGCGGTGATGGGATGACGCCTTTGTGATGGTGTGTAAATCCGAAAAAGAAGAAGAAAACTAAAAACAACAACACGTACACACACAATATACATAACGAAAACGCACTGTTTTTGTGTGGCCATTGGCGTGGGTGATCTAGTGGTTATGATGTCTGCTTTACACGCAGAAAGTCGCGGGTTCGAACCCCGCCCCGCGTATTCCTTTTTTCATCCAATCCGGATTGAATACCTTATTCACCTATACTCCCCAGAAGAGCTAAACAACATCCACATTCCTACCCTTCACTGCCGTCCATTCCAGTGACCGATACGGAATTCATCCCCATTACAGCAGCAGAATAGGAACGGGCAGAGCGTCTCCTTCCTAAAGGGAGGGCCGCAGGTCCAGATGGTATCTACGGTGGGGCACTCCAACACTTGGGACCTCGAGCCAAAGGGGAGACTCTTGCCCTCTTCAAGGCGAGCCTCCGAACTGGTATAGTTCCAGTTTCTTGGAAAGTAGACATCATTGTACCACTCCTTAAGCCCGGGAAGAAAGCCACAGATCTAGATTTGTCCAGACCAGTTACACTCACTAGCTGTCTGTCCAAATTAATGGAACAGATCATTGCAGCCCGCATTGGAGATGTTATTGAAATTAAACTGACCCCGCAACAATCTGGATTCAGGCCTCTCCACTCCACATTAGGTCAACTATTGCACCTACGCGCAGCCCTCACGAGACCCACCCCTGATTCGCGTACAGGTGCAGTATTCGTAGATTACGCCAAAGCCTTCGATACTGTAGACCGTGATCGAATAGTTAGTGCGATGCGAGAGATGGAACTCCCACCACACAACATTTGATGGTCAGCATCTTTCCTGAAAGGACAACAAGCCAAAGTACGAGTAAACAGTAAATCCTCTCTCCCCTAATGCATTTCCACCGTGGTATAAAACAGTGAACTGTTCTTGCTTCGCTTATGTTCATTACAGTAATGAACACCCCAGTCAAACAATTATCGTGGGTTTCCTTATTTTTTCATGGATTTTTTTGTTTTGTTTTGTGCTATGGGTTTCAGTGTTATATGCTTACGTTAAAATGTTTTAAGGTTGTGGAGTAGAAATAATGGATACTCTTGTTTTTTGGCTTCGCGTAATAAATGACAGTTCCTTGCATTTCCCTTGTATTGTTTTGTCTGCTGGTGTTCAGGACAGTTTGGTTTTACATTTCGCGGTGTTGCATTTTTGTTTGTTTTTACTTCCCATTTGGCGATGCCAGCTCTCGGGTGCAAGGGCGTGTGAGGAGTCCCAGGTGATGCTTTGCTGAACGTGTGCCGCCGTGGGGTTTTTGCAGAGGAATATGTTGAATGTTTTCTGGGGACCAGGTTAATACCAAATTGCTGCTGACCGTCTTGTTAAAGGTATGGAGGTTATGTTGTGATCGATGTTTCTTCAAAGACAGGCGTGGAAAGAGGGTGTGGCTCTTGTAAAGTGACCGTTGGGAACTACTATGCCATTGGGTATTAGACCCTCTTGTGGAAGTTGTAAACAACTCTCCTCTCATACCTCTTGTCGTCTATGTTGTTGATGGTGAATGATTGATTTTGTCTTGTGCTTCTGAGGTGTTTTGAATCTGACATTGGGGGAGTGTAGGTTGAGGATTATTTGGTTTGCCTTTGCTCTTCTTCTTGGTTCTGTGTTGTGCCCCTTTGCGGACCTTGAGATGAAATACCGGTGAGCCCAAAGGCTTACATGCGTGTCGACATCATATAATTGCCATGTTCAGGGAGAAAGGGCTCTTTTTTTTTTATACTGTAATGACAGAGTAGTACTTCTAATGGGGTGTTGTTGTTGCTTGCTTGTGGGCCTCAGAGTGATGAGTCCTCATGCAGACAATTGTTGCAGAGGGTCTGTACTTGAATTTACAGAAGGGTGATGGTTGCTGTACATGAACTGAGTCTTGCAACTGCACACCATGCACTACGATACTCTCTTTTCTTATTTTCTTACTTTCTTTCTTTTTCTCGTTTCTTGTAGATTTACTGTTTAAAAGCTACAAAGCAAGCATACCTATATATCCATTATACACGACTGTGAGACAATGACCCGACAGATGCACGTCTCACTGTTTCTCCTGCTGCTGTTGTTTCTATTTGTACAGTTGTGCAGCACGAGTGGAATCCTCGCCGAGGAGCAGTCGACTGGAGTTGTGTTGGAGGTGCCCCAGGAGGGACAGGGTGCATCGCGGGCGTACAGCATCGTCACAACGAACCGAACGTTTATCCGCATAAATACCTCAACAGAGGACTTGATCAAGGATAAGTACTGCAGTAAGATGTGGGGATCGTTCGAAAAAATGGGGGGAGAAGATATTGAGTGCCAAGGTCAACTTTTTCTTTCTGAGGAAATGAAAAAGACTTTTCTCGACACAATTCTTCCTGCTGCCATTAAACTACACGCGGATCGTCTGCTCGTTGACCCTGTGGAAGGTCCGTTGAAGGTTCCTGACTTTGAAGAGGGCAGTGTTTGCAAGAACTTTACTGTTCCTGATGGTCACCGTAAAGAGGGTGTTGAGAATGCTGACATGGTGCTCTATGTTGCAGCGAGACCAGAAAATGCGTTTGGTGTTCCCTGTGCTTATGATAACAACTCTGGTCGACCTGTTGCTGGGGCGATAAATGTTCAGATATATCCCCTCAAGATGCAGCGATATAATGTGCGTCGTGTCGCGCATGAGATTGCACATGCACTTGGATTTGACTATAAGGTGTTTGAGAAAAATAATATGGTGGCTGAGATTGAGTTTGGTAAAAGAATGAGGCGTGTGGTGAACTCAAGCAAAGCGAAAGAGGTGGCACAGAAATACTATAACTGCAATGAACTGAAAGGTTTGGAATTGGGTTATGTTTCTCTTGAAGACCATATTCTGAATTTGTCGCACTTGGCCTGGAGAAACACGAATGATGATTTGATGTCCTCTATGTACCTTTATGGCGCTATGCACTACTCTGCTCTAACAATGTCTGTGTTTGATGGACTACCATTTTACACAGTTAATTGGGGCATGGAGGAGTCTATGACTAAGGGCAACCAGAGTGGGTGCAAGTTGTTTGAAAGTGAATGCAAAGATGAGGGTGCCACCAAATATCCTGGGAGGTTTTGTAACACTAACGAGGATAAGGTTGGTTATTCATGTACAAGTGATCGCCTTGGATATGGAGTGTGTAACCCAGTTCCTGACGATCGGTACCCCGATAAGGATAAGACATGCAATGCTGCTCTTTATGCCCAAAGTTATGAAGAAGGAAAAGATCACATGTTTTTACTTTGCAGCGAAACAACAATGTTGAATCTTCCTGGCTCAATCTTTGGTAATAATGATTCGCTTTGCTTGGATACAGAAGAGTACAGTATTGATAAAGAGTCGGAAGAAGATGGGATGGTTTTCACTGGTATATGTGCACGGGTATCTTGTGATGATGGTAATGTGAGGGTGATGTACAACGGCAGCAGCGAATGGCAGAACTGCTCGGAGGAGGGTGAAATAATTGAAGTGAATCGCTCGGGTTTAAACAATAAAATCAAAATCAAGTGTCCCAAGTACAGTGAGGTGTGTACCGTCCTCCATGATGGCAGCAGTCTTCTCCCACTGATTGAACCGAAACCACTGCCAGCACCAGCAATAACAACAACGACAACAACAGGAAATAATGAATCCCATCAAGAACAAGGGGAGACAGTTGGTACAGAACGTGGGCATACCAACAATAATTCCAGCAGCGTGCCCTCACAAAGTGCAGAGAGGACACAGAACACCACCGGCGTCAATGTGTCTACAAATGACAACGTTACTGTTCCGCCGACGACTGAGGGAAATATAAACAAGGATAATCTTACATCTCCACAAGTGAAAGAGGAGCTTAAGATTCGTATGGGTATGGATGGCATTCCTGCTGCAGCCTGTGTTCTACACGCTCTATTTCTGCTGATGGCTGCTGCTGCTGCTGCTGCTTTGGCTGCGCCGCTGTGAAGCACCCCCAATGTGCGGACCCAGACGGCAAGGTCAAAGGGCGTCGCCTCGCCTCTATTCTGATGGTGGCACGCACTCTGGGCTTTCCATTATACTTAATTTCATAAAGGTAAATATCTGCTATATGATTTTTCTTGTCAATGCACACATTCGATACATCTGTATGCATGGTGCTGCAGTTTCTTTTTATTGGGAAAAACATATTTATAAGCTATAAAGTTTTGAGGACGAATTTTTTTTTTTTGGAAAATGAATGGAAAAAACATTTTTTTTTCTTGGGGAATGACATGGCGCTACGTCTGTAGTTGCCATGAGGATTGGGAATTTTTTTTTTTTTTTTTTACAATAATTTTTTTTATATATATATGCACAGTTTCGGCATTGCGCGATAGGCTTCATTTCTGATTTTATGTGGAGGAGGAGCTGAGTGAAATGTTTTAATGGGTGGAAAAAACTAATGCGTAAAAAGGGAACTCTCTACTTTTTTGCCATCATATGATGTGCATTGGTTGATTACGTTTTATTTTTAAAACCTGCAGTTGGTCAACATCATCTTCTACAAACGATAAGAAACCTTTTGTTTTCTTTTTTTATTTTCCCTTGTAGAAAGAAAAAAACAAAAAAAGCCAAAATAGATGCGTCCCTGCGTCTATAAATTGATCACAAAGCACCTTTTAGAATAGCAATTGTTGTTCTTGCTCGAAAGGACACTGTGTGTAGTGCGTTGTTTGCCCTTAAAACAACCACCCCCAATGGTGGCATGACTTTGTGTGCACTCTTGCTGTGCGGCACAGTGCCGTCCGCGTGCTGCGAGTGACTTTGGCCTGCAGGGGTCGCTGGGGCGGTATCTGAAACGGAAGCTGCCTCGTTGCGTTGCTGGCGTGCTGGTGTGTCTGTGGATTATTAGTTTGGTTGTTGCACCAGCTAGGGTGGACCTTGGGAGTGGGGAAGTGTATACTCTGGCGGTGTTCCGGCGTCCCACGGCCGTCCCAAAAAAGGACCGCACATCACACCACTGTGTTTTTTTTTCTTTTCTTGTTGCCTGCATGGATGTTGCTCCAGTGGAACAGGCCATCAAGAATAATACATAAATATACATAAATACAATTTGTTTTTTTATTATTTTTTTTTACTACCGTTGGCCATGGGGAGTGCGCATTGGTAATGAGATTACAATGGATTTCGTAGGTGGCAGAACATGAACTTTTTCGCCTCTCTGAGTCCCCTCAGCAGCTAATCTAATTTTCACCACTGGAGGATATAATTGTTACTATCTCTAGGGTCTGTGCCTCTCCCTTTTTTGGCAGCATTCACACTAAAGTGCAATATATAAAAGAAACTGCTGCTGATGGTACACTGATTACGCGCCTCAGGATCTTCTTGGATAAGGTTTTGTCCCAGCACGACTCTGCTGGCCCCGGTGCTGTATGACGTTTTTAGCTTATGAACCCGTAAACTCTCAAGAAAGAGAATTTACTGGCCCATGACTTCCCTCAAAATAATAAGGGATAATGGGCATTGGCTCCAACTTTCGATGGCCAAACGCCAACAAGGGAATGCCATTTCTAAGAACGCATGTGTTGAAAAGAAAAATAAAAAGAATTTGGTTTTTAAGGAGACCACCCTCTTCAAACATTTAGTGAGTGCATTTGGTTTCTTTGAACGAATTGGTATTCGCAACCTCGGCGCCGCGTGAAAGCAGCCCTCATTACCAAAGGCATATTGGTCTAAAAACCCCCCCACCTGGGCCAGCCCCCCCCATGGGAGGCAGAGGCCCACAGCCAGAGCGCAACGCGCGGTGCCGCAAACAAAAGCGCAACCAGCACCAGCACATGTAGAAAACACAAATCACGACGGCAAAAACCAGATGGCGCGCCTGGCACCCACCAAAAAAATACAAGGGTGGGAGTCCGACCCCGCCACACGGACAAGTCCGGGACGGCCTGGGACACCACCTAACCCCACCAAGGCGGAGCAGCACAACGACACAGAGGCCACGAACGACCAAAAGAACAATAACAACTGGTAGAACACCAAAATAGCAGAGGCGCGGCTATTGTAGAGGCCGCCTGCTTCGACCAGAAAACTGCCACCCCACCCCGGCGCCACCAGCCGGCCAAAGTTGTGACGGACGGCGGCGGCGACGCCACCAGGCCGGCACAACCCAAAACACCGGAACAACCCAACACCTACAAGGGTCAGCTTGTGTGCGAAAATGTGCCCCAATACCACCGTAACGAGGCCCAGTAGAGCACAGCGGGCTGGAAACGCACGGCACTCGCAAAACTGAAAATTCACCCCTGGGGGGTGGGGCTGGAAAGGGCACCCCGGAGACCCCCCCGGGAGCATAATATGTTCTTTTGCGTGTATATCGGGTACGGCCATACTTGGCCGAATGCACCATATCCCGTCCGATTTGTGAAGTTAAGCGGCCACAGGCCTCGTTAGTACGGCGATCAGTGATGGTACTGGAACCCGGGGTGCCGTGCCCTCCTCAACTTTTTCTTTTTGCCAACATCTTGGGGTAGGCGCCGTGGACCTCTGATGCCAACCGCGGCTCGCCTTTGGCAATGGGGGCCGCCTTGCCGCGGCGCGCAGCTTACGCACTTCCATCTCTTCAGGGAAGCCAAACGTACTTCACACATTGTTGTGGTGGGGCGGGCGGTGGGGTGCCAACAAACCAAAATACCTATGGGACAAGATGTTCTTATGGGGGAAAGTGTTCTTTTTGTGCTTATTTTTCCTTTTCTGCATTTCCTTTTCACACCACGCATGGCAGTAGCGGAACGCCTTAACATCACCATAGCGGAATTTGCCTTTATCATAGGGAAGGAAGGGCTCACCCTCATGTTTTTTTTCATCATGCCGCGTGCGACCGAGTAAAAAGGTGCGGTTGAATGGCCACACCATGTCAAGAGGGGAACGGGGAAGGGTCATCTTTGCGGAATACCTTTCAAACCCATCTCACTCAGCGTTGAAGTAGGGAAAGCAAGAGTTTTCCACCATTCCCAACCCCACTCATTTTATAAGTGAAACACCCCCGGGAGCCACCCCACCCCTCTTCTTCTTGTTGCGCACAAGGCGCTGTGACAAGTTGGCCGCCCGCCTTGGGTTGTAGGGGTTGTGTGATCTCCTCCTCTCCCTTCTTGGGGTGAGGGATAAAAAAAAAAAAGAAAAGGGCAAAACCCGACAACGAGACTCGAGCATTGCGCGCGTAGACTGGTTGCCGGGTTTCATCCCTTTTTTTTCATCATCCCCACTCTTCTTTTTCTCTCAAGTTCAAAGTCCCTGAGCATGATATTTCAGGCCCCAAGGTTCAGCGCCTCGGGGCATAAAGTGCCCCTCGAGCCCCGCCGAAGCGAAGCATGCCGCTCACACACAAACCCCACAGACGCCGCAGTGGAGTGGTCCAGCAACACAAAGGTGTCCTGCCCACTCACAGTGCACACACACACACAATGACAGCCCCACATGCTCATATCAGAGAGGCGCTACAGCAATTCACTAAAATGCACACTAAGCCACGCACCTACAGAGGGGAAAAGAAAAACACAAGAAAAGAACAACAACAACAACAACAGGATACCAACAGCACACCAATCACAGCTGCCACTCCCATCAGAGAAAAACATTCACCCATACCAGCACATCAACTCAACCCCAAAAAGAAAAAAAACATACCCATTACGTGAAGCCGAAGCGGAACAGTCTCAGTCCACCTCCCCGCAGGCTGCAGTCACTCAAGCAAGCCACACAACAAAGGGGCACAAATATGTTCGTGGCAATACAGTGAGTGACACCACCGAGAGAAAAAGGTGAGAACAAAGAAATGTGTTTTCATTACGTGGGCGGTGCGAGTAGTAAGCTGAACAAACACACAAAGGAACACACAACAGAGGGTCACACTCAAACACCTATAACCCATCAATCTTTTTATACCAAAATAAAAATGTAAAAAAAAAGGAGTGACTGCGTGAGGCAGACACAATAATAGAGCAAAGATGTAAAAAGAAAAAAAGAAATCCATTACTTACTGTGACTGCGATGCCTGGACACAGTCCAATTCACCCCAAAGATTAACAACGGAAAATCATTGTTGTGTACTGAACGTGCCGTATCCATATCTTTATCCTTGATGTCCCTGCAACAGTTTGTAAGCAATGAAAAAAAGATATCATTCCATAAAAATGAACACACAAGATACACAAGGTGTATTGGAAACGCAAAAGAGAAACACACAGCTGCACATGACGTGCAATCAAATTATAATGAAACACACACAAGAGAAAAAGCAAAATAATGAAAACAAAACAAAAAGAAAAAGCCGTGATCACCATGTGAATATGTTCAGGAGGCAAGCAACACAATTCCCGGCAGTGCGTGTGTGTGTCTTTCGTACGTGGCGAGCAGTGGGAATGATGCACACATGATGACAGTCCACACACACACAAAGAGAAAGAGGGTTGGTGGTGTGCGTGTTTGTGTGTCTCGAACCTCCTGCCATTCTTCACATTTCAGTCACAGCAATTAAAACACACTGGAATTGTATCCCATTCCCATGGGTAAAAACAATAGTTATTAATATCACGGAACACACACACATCACCAGGAGGACACAGTGAACGACGGTAAAGCAGTGCCCAGATAATAATGCCAACAAACAAAGAGGACACTCCCCTCACAAAATGATGGTTTGTCATGTGATGAGTGTCATAGGGAGTCCAATAGATTCGTTCAGCATAAAAATGCAAATAAGAGATTTATCGAACCAAAAAAAAAGTTTGTTGTTCAAACGAAAAGAACAGTGCCCTTACAATGCATCCATATCCACTCAAATAAAGGTTAACTGTGCAACTGTGTCATGGGAAAACCGATCAGCAAACGAGAGTGCAACCCAACACACACAACACAAGAAACAGCATGGAACTCTGCACCATTGCAGGACTGTTGCTGTTATCATTCTTCTTAGCTGCTTCTGCTTTTTTTTTCGCCTCTTCCGCTGCCCGTTCCAGCTGTTCTTTTTCCTTTTCCACCTGCGTCTGTCTTTCCCTTTGGGCCTGTTCTTGCACCCTCCTCTGCTCGGCTTCTCTTTCCCTTTGGGCCTGTTCTTTTTCCTTTTCCACCTGCGCCTGTCTTTCCCTTTGGGCCTGTTCTTGCACGCTCCTCTGCTCGGCTTCTCTTTCTCTTTGGGCCTGTTCTTTTTCCTTTTCCACCTGCGCCTGTCTTTCCCTTTGGGCCTGTTCTTGCAATCTTCTCTCCTCGGCCTCTCTATCCCTTTGGGCTTTTGCTTTCTCCAGTTCTGCTTGTTTCTTTTTTTGTTTTTCTTCCTCTTTTGCCTTTTCTATATTTAGCGCTGCCTCTTTCCATGCGACATCCAGTCTCTCCTTTATCGTAGATTTCTTCGCAACTGTTACAGTGCCAATTCTGGCTCCTTTTACTTCTTCTTTATGGTCATCAAAAACTTCCTCGATTTCGTTCATCGATCGATTCGCCCTCACCATTTCCTCCTTGACTTCCCTCGCGCAGGCATAACTCCATTTATGAACAGCGGCAAGCTCTTCCATTCCCCAAGTCAAACTCTCATGCATTTTGTTGCTTTCCTCAACGAGTTCTATTCTCGCTGGTGTCTTGTACTCGTCTTTTGCGCCCTCAATCTCACTAATGTAGTATTTTCGTGTGTCATCCTTGGCCTCTACTTCTTGTTTCCAGTAATCAAGATAATGGTAACAATAGTTGGTTACAGTCGTTGTTTCGTCCAGCGTTGCTCTCGTATCGTTAACTGTCTCTTGTGTTTTTTGCATCGTTTCCTTAACCTCTTCCACGCGAACCTTACCACCATTGACCCCACCTGTCGACGTGACAAGCTCCCCCACTTTATCCTTAATTTTCTTAAGAAGAGCAACAACGGCATCGGCAGCGCCCTTGGTCGGTGTCGATCTTGCAACGCACGACTCCTTTTCCTCCTTCCACACCTTCACACATCCCTTTCCCTTCCCCAAAAGTTCTTTCTCCCTCTTCATCCATTCCACCAACTTTTTCTCCGCCCCAACAACATTCTCTTCAGTATTCTGACCATCGTTTGCACGCGCCAAATACGCACAACACTGCAGAAGTACCAACAGGTACACCACACGGCGCAGTTGGACGAACATCGTTGTCATTGTTGTCACTGCGAGTTGCTTGGATCTGTGGTAACAAGGAATAAAAGAAAGAGGAGAAAAGAGACGCATATTTAACACACAAGGCAGAGAGTACACAGCAACACACAAACAGAGAGAGAGAGAGAGAGAGTACACAAAACAACAGTAATCAAACACAACCCAATGAGGGGAACAACAGTAAACCACTCACACAATAAAACACACCCAGAGTTACACAGACATTGAAACAACACCTTGAATTTAGAAGAAGTGGAAAACAAATGGTATCAAAACAATATTAAATAAACGTCTCTACACACACTCCAATATCTTACTCGGTATTCATACACACAAAGTGTGTCTGTATTCTCATTATAATAAAATCATTACCAGGCAGTTTGAACACCAAAATACACCAAAAACACAGTGTACGCCTGGCAACATACAAAAACAATACCACAAATCATCAGCAAAACAAAGAGACTGTACAATAATAATCAACACACACATCCAAACAGAAAAAGAAAAGAAAGAAACTAATGCATCGCCATAATATTTATTACCAACACCACAATTGGAATCTAAAACCCACTCACTCACAACCATAACAAAAATGACTGCATACATCACTGTAATACCATGCCACTCTTTACAAACAGAGGCAACACACAATTACTCTCTCACACACATATTACCTCTTAATTTATTCTTATTATTATTATTTTATTTTTCCCTCAGAATATCGATTCGCCTCTTCTTCTTCTACAACATTATCAGCAAAAAAAAAAAAAACACTTATACCCCAGCGAACACACACGTCCTTTCCTCCACAATGTGTATTAGGAGGGTAATATCAAACATATCCCCTTCCTCCCCCACCCAAAAAAGACCCCACACCACACCACACCACGTTTTTTTTGTTGTTCTTCGTGGCTTTATGGATATTACTCCAATGGTAAGGCTATCAACCGTACACCGTAGAGCACCTAATTACGGACTTAGGAGTGGTTCCGAAGAAAAAGATCCCTTCGTTTTATGGGATCCTCAAGCTCTTGTAATATGATTTTTTTTGTTGTAGCCCGTTCCCAAACGAGAGAATCAGTCTACGAGAAATCAGATCGAGCAAACTCAACCAGATCTCTCTACTCTCACTGTTCTTACCCAGAAACCGTCCTCAAGTCTCCTTTTTGTTATTATTTTTGTTATTTTGGGGTTTTCTATAATAGATTGGCCTCAATGAGCTCCTATTGATTTCGTTGCTTCTTGTTGGGTCGGTGGCAGGCGTCTCGAGCTTACTCTTCTATCAAGGTTTCCATATTCGTGCCCGCCACTAATTTTAAAGAGATGGGGAGGTCTTACGGGGGGCGCGAGGAAAAAAAAAGAAAAAAAAAAAACGGAGAGAAGGTGGAAAAAAGTTTTGAAGCGAGGACCGAGAAACCAATAAACCAAAAACACCCTATCGCCAGAGAAAACAAATATCGACAACAAACTGACCGCGAATAAAACAAGAATTAAAAAAAAAATGAAAAAAACACAATGGTACAAATAAAAGAAGAAAAAAAAAAAGAAAGAAAAAGTATTTGTGACAATCTTCAAATTGTGAGGTTTTTTTTCGGCGATATCGAGGTATTCGGGTTATTTTCTTGTACGTTTTTCCAACCGCTGGGCAATGTTGGCGGCCAATTCTTTATCCTTAAGACCATGCAAGGCAAAATGGCAATATCTAGTTAAAGTCAATCGGTCAATGTTTTCAAGGGAAGCAGCTACCTCATACATTTGACGGGTGTTTTCCACTAGGGTTTGTAAGCGGGTATTGGTTATGGCTGTCATTTTACTCTCTTCCTTTATCCACTCATAGTGAAATGCGGCGCATAACAGTCGATTCACAGTTACATTGCGAGGGTTGTGTTCACGAGCACGCTCTAAAACTTTAACCGCATCTTCAAATCGATCACCTAGTTCAACATATAAAGAACCTAATGTAGTCAAGAGTAAAATACTACATGGATGTAGTTTTAAACCATTCTTACATAAAAGTTCCACTTTTTTAGCTATATTCTGTTTCATATTATAAAGGTTACCTTCATCTGCTGTACGGGAAGAAATATTCCATAAGAAAGAACAATACACAGCAATAGTACGTGCGTCTGCTGGATTAAGTTTTATAGCTTCTTCAAAGTAAAATGTAGGGGTATTTGGAGATGGTAAAAATGATGCTAAATACTTTGCATAAAGTGCACTTGCTTGTGCTTTAATAGGTTTGTTTAAATTAGAAGCGCTACGTTTTAAATGGTGTCGTAAAATCCCTTCACCTGCTATTACATATCGTTCTTGATCTCTTCTTTTTAAACAAGCTAAAAATTCAGCATAACATTCGCTAGTTCGAGGATCATTAGGAGATAAATAAAACGCTTTTGCATAATACTTTCGGGCAAGGTCTATGGCATCATAATCAGCACAAAATTTTGCATAATTTACAAGAATAGTCGTATTTGACGGAAATCGAGTTAAAGCTATTTTATAACATGCATTTATAAATTTCCCTTCTTGATGTAATTTAGTTTGTGCAACATATCCGGCAAGGCTTACAGTATCCTCATCCTGTGATAAGCGTATACCTCGGAGAAGCTGACGTTTAAAGTCTTCATTAACAGAACCATCCCATAAAGTTGAACCACAGCAATCTATAATAATTAAAGAAAGATTTTCTGGTTTAATTCCTAATGCAAGAAGTAAGTGTTGTAAACATTCAAGACGCAAATTTGGGGTTAGTTCATCCCAACAAACTACACCAAGCCAAGCGAGTTTTCCATACAATCGAGGAAGCATCTCACGATTAGTGGTAGTAGCATTAATCATACGATAAATACATGTCCGTCCACCATTATAATTTGTTGTCAAGACAAAAAAAGAAGCAGCTGCCGTAGAAACATTTTCTTCAGTAGGACAAATAGTTACTGCTTGATCATAAAGATCTTGAGCTATTTTAACATCCTTGTGTGCCATTACTGTAGCATAATTTGCAAGCAAAATAGAAAGTTCACGAGCGTATTCGTCAGAGGTAACATGAACAGCTTGTGTATATTCAACCGCTAGGCGATACAGCTCTTCTGCTCCAGCATCATCGCCACGTTGTTGACAAAAAAATCCACCTCGACTCAATGTCATAATAGCTTTTAATTCACCATCTCGGTCAGTTGTTGATCTCAAATTATCTATAACATGTCCTGCCATGATAATACTTGCTGATTTTTTAAAAGATGCTATAATAATAGTATTACAATTTTTTTCATCTTTATCATCCAATGGCGTAGTAATAGATGATAGATTTGTTTTATTTTTATTCATAAGTGTTATTGCCGCATTACGTAAAGCTATCTCCAACTCTTCATCTCTAGAACTGTAGCAGATGCTAGCGAAACCATAGGCTGATTGTAGTAATATATCAGGTTCAATGGAATCTTCTGGTAATGCAAGAATTTGAAAGTAGAGTTCAAGTGCTCTCATAGTATTGGTGGCGCTATGTAACTGGGCAAGACGTAGTAAAGATGATGCACAGGATCCCCCAAGAGCTTTTTCAACACGAACACAATGTTCAAGAGCTTCTTCTGCAATCTCAATATTACCTACTCGTTCACAACAACTAGCATAGTTTTCAAGCATCCAACGTAATGTTTCAGAATCAACTTCCTCAGAAAATTTTGTACCTTTACTTTTAGCTGTTTTAAATGGACATTTCATTTCTACTCCACATCTTCGTATAGCTTGACAAAAATACACACATGCCCGTCGATATTCTCCAACGTGTATTTGAAAACAATAAGCTAGACGACCTTCTACTTCAGACACTGTTACTGGAACTATCATACCCATACATGCTAATTGAAGGTTCTCATTCTCATATCCAATAGATTTAATAGTGTCTATAGTTTCAAGATAAACACGAATAGAATTATCTACAAGTGAAGCATTTGCGAGGGCATCTGCATATTTCATGCGTACCCATGCAGAGTGTTTTCGCATTCCAAATTCATCCATTAATGAAACACATTGTTCAAATAATCCAAGTGATTTTCCAATTTCTTCATTTTCCGCAAGACAAACTGCGGTATCTAAAAGAGCAAAAATTAAATAACGAATTCGAAGTATTCCTTCCTGTAAAGTAACTTTTTCTTGAGGTGAAACTCTAGTACAAGATCGCATTTCTTCTAAATCTCTCTGTGCTCTATCGAGTGACATTTCCGCTGCACCTTGTAGGTATGGCATCCCTCGTGAAATATCAAAGGCTTCAAAACAAAGCAAAAGTCCAATTTCGTGCATTACTCGAATTTCCATATCAACATCAGGAGCATCTAACAGCGTTCGTAAAGCTAATGTATAGAGTGAAAGACTTTTATCCTTATCACCAAGTCGGCGCTGAAGACGAGCCATTATCAAGGCTATACGAACTTTTTCTGTGTTACTTTTACAAGAGTTTAGTTTTTCTTCTCCTTGTTTAAGGGTTTGCATCACTACTTTTTCGTTAGCGAGAAATCGATCAAAATCTTCTGATACATAGCTTCGACTGAGAGGTATATGACTCTCTTTTCCTGAAACAATTTGGTTTAGAGAAGATTCTACTGGATAATCCCGCATCACTGACAGTGTTCTTTCATATTCACATAAAGCATCAAAGCAGTGTCCTTCACATGCCAAGGCATTGGCAAGAATTATACGTAAATGTAATACAGGTGTTTCTCCTTCAAAAGAAAATATTATTTCAATAGCCTGACGTAAATATTCAATTGCTTTGGTTATTTTTTGATCTACCAAACATTGTACACCGTAGTTTACGAGTACAAGACTATGTAATGACCAATGATGTGAAGGAGAAGCTTTGTAAAGTTCAGTACTAGAGACTAGAAGATTTTCGTACATTTTTATGCAAGGGGTTTTTATACAGTTTTTTAGCACCTTGTTTAGACGTCTTTCTTCTTTCTTTTCCATTCCTTCACTACTATCACAAGAACGAATCCCACAACCACGTGTCTGGGATGCGCTGATAGGAATAATAGCTACTTCGGATCTATTACATCGCAGTCTCTTTGTAGTATCTGATGATGAAAGGGAGCTGGATATTGAGGAAAAGGTATTTTGTTGTTGCTCTTGTGATGGCAGGAAACCACTATTAGTTATATGAGACGATCTACTCGCTAACGTTGAAGAATGGCGACTCATCCAGTACAACGGGATGTAAAGTGAATGTCCATTCGGAAGAAGACGCATAAGTATGTCACGTTTTTTAATCATTTCTTTTTTCTTTTTTTTCGTCTTGATAATGATAATAAAATACTTCACTGACCACGTTCAGGTATTTGTTTTTTTTTCCTCTACTTGACTTTTTCTTCTCACACTTTTTCTTACTTTTTTTTTTTCTAAACGAACCCTAATCAACCAAAAAGAAAAAAAAAAACCCTACTCGCAACGGTTTAAAAACCGGTGAATCTAGCGCGAGTAATAGAGCTGCACCTATTAACAATAATGAAAATGACAAAGAAAAAAAAAAACAGAAGGAAAAAGTAAGAAAAAAAAAGGAGACGGAAACCCCCCCAAAAAAAAACAATAATACGGCAAATGTAAGTTAAAACTGTTCTATTTTTTTTTATTCTTTTTTTTTTCCTTCTCCAAACCGCTAACCTCAGAACACAAAAAAACTGTTTTCCTTAGCTTTCTTTTTCGGTTTGATATTACGAATCTTTCCTTTACCATTTTTTCTTCTTTTTTTTTTATTTCCTTATTTTTTTTTCCTTCATATTTTAGATTTGATTCTACGCTCCCAGAGATCCCTCCAAAAAAAAATTTTTTTTTCTTTTTTTTTTTAAGTTATTCTTCTTACCTTTGCGTGTAAAATCAGCTTCCTCATAGCTGACCGGATGCCTCAATCTTCACAGGCTTGCTCACCTTGCCACTCTGGGAGCCGACAGCCTCCATCGCCTTGACAACGTCCATGCCCTCCAACACCTGACCAAAGACAACGTGCTTGCCGTCGAGCCACGAGGTCTGCGCGGTGCAGATGAAGAACTGCGATCCGTTCGTGTTGGGGCCGGCGTTTGCCATGGAGAGTGTGCCAGGGCCAAAGTGCTTGCCGGCCTTACCAGCAAAGGACTCATCGGCAAACTTCTCACCGTAGATAGACTTGCCGCCAGTGCCGTTGTGGTTGGTGAAGTCACCACCCTGGCACATGAACTGCGGAATAACGCGGTGGAAACCACTGCCGGCGTAACCAAAGTTCTTCTCTCCCGTACAGAGCGCACGGAAGTTCTCTGCCGTCTTTGGAACGGCATCAGCGAAGAGCTCAAAGACGATGCGGCCGGCCGGTTGACCACCGATGCTGATGTCGAAGTACACCTTCGGGTTGGTGGGAACGGTGGGGTGGTGTGGCTTGTAGGACATTGGTAATGTGGTTGGGTTTGTTAACTTTTTTTTTTTTTTACTAAATACAGACGTAGAAATAAATAAGTATAAATAAGAATAAGAAAAAAAAAACAAATGAGGAAGAAACAGTGGGATTTCAGCAAAAGAGTATTTAAAGAAGATAGAAGAGAAAGAGAAAAATAAATCGGAAACCGTTAGACACACATATATATATACAACGGAATAATGAAATCAAATTACTCATTATTGTCCCCTCAAAAGTATTTGTAAAACGGCACTTGTCTTAAACTGTTTTTGATCAAAAAGCATAGATAACTATAAAAAAAAGAAAGAAAAAATAGAGGAGAATGAAACTCCCTATATTTATGAACCAGATTCTCCCGCTAAACGACGGAACTCCTTTGCCAAATTCCAACACGTCTTTTTCTCCTTGGGGTTGTAGTAATACACTCTACCCTTCTTATCCTTGGTTTCTTTCCACTCTCCACTTTGTAGTGCTTCTTGTACCTTCTTATCGTAATCCACCACAGGAGACGAAGTGAGAGAACAAACTCCAAAAGAATTATCCGATGTTACTTCTACTGCTAACGACGGAACTTTTTTGGCACTACTACTACTTGGTGGTAGTGGTGGAGGAGGTGGTGGTGGTGGTGGTCGGGGCAGAGATGGTGGAGGTGGTGGTAATTTCTTTGATAATGGGGCTACTGGTGTATGGTTCAAATGGCTCAAAACATAAGAAGAAGAGGTCTCTTCTCCAGAGTTCACAAACGTTTCAGCTGATAAAGGCAATGATGTCTGTTTCTTTAACTCATTTTTCGCTTCTGTCGTCTTTATTGATTGAATACGACTGTCACCCAAGGTAGAAACGGTATCGGTTGCATTGGTTAAGGCACCAAATTTATATCGAATTCTTTGAAATATGTCGGCTACTGGAGACGCAGATTGTGGTGGTGCATTTATTTGCTGTATCTGATCCAAAAGAAAGGAAATATGCTCTTGTCGTTCATCACTTATCCTGTTTCCTCCTGAAGGAAGGGATTGTAATGCAGAAAGAGGAGGGGGAAGTAAAGAAGAAGGAGGAATAGAAATATCGGTGGTAACAGCATCTTTCAAACTTGAGAGAAGTTTAGATTGACAAACTGCAGACTCGTCGCCTACGCTATTCATTTCATTCACATTGGGTACGGACCTGAATTGTGACTCAACTTTAGATTCGGTTTCATAGGAATCTACTACTTCAATAATGAGCTGTGGCGATGATGAATGACGTTCTCTACTGTTTGTATATCGTTTAGTCGTACTATTACAAACACCCCAGCAAGGGTCTTGAAACTGAACATCTTTTGCTCCAGGGCTTCCACCATTTATGGGTAAAGATGAATTTCTCCTCTTAATATGAACTTGTGAATAAGGTGAAAAAGAAACACAAGGGAGTTCTCCCAATACTGGTACTGGAGATTTCTCACACACCCCACTATCTACTATTATATGAGTCGATAATTTATTCTTTTCAGAACTATGCCCAAGTTTATAGGAGGTTATTTGATCACACTCCTTTTTTAACTCAGCAATGTGTGTATCTATATTTTTTCCATGTAGTTGTAAGAGATAAAAACGGTCTATCAAAACAGAAGATGTATTCCAATCTTCTGTACTATTGACTAATTCTTGATTTTGACCTGGTGTCACAACACGTCTGTCATTGCATATTGCAGAGAATTTACTCTCCATCCATGTGAAACCCTTTGTGAGAAAAAGAAATAAAAAGAAAATACCGTATATATAAATATATATTTGTCTCAACAAAAGAAAAAAAATACATATATGTATAAATACAAAGAAGACTAGATATTACATCTGAAAGATAAGTAATAAATAGATAGAGATAGAATGAGAGGGTAAAGAAAGAAGAGCCATTTCGTTTAATGGCAAAAAATGAAGTCTCCTTTTCGTATTTCATAAGAAATACGAGAAGAAATGTAATATCACTTCACTTTTTTCTCACCCCACCTCCCTTTCACGTGTCTCAGAAGTCAAACAAAGAGACAAAGGACAAGAGCAATAATATCGGCAACTTCACAAGCATTTAGAGTAAGGAACACCATGAACAATTCTAGTCTTACATTTCCATAAAATTTCATCAAATAACATCAATGTTTTCATCCACTAATGCGTGTTTGTGGTTTATTATCGGGAGTGTCCTCTGTTCCCTTAATCTGCTTAAACTCCACTGAAACAGGAGAATCTAACTCTACAATAGCAACCTTATAGTCATCCATTTCTTTTATTTCACCAACCTCATTTTTGTATCGTCGACCACGCATGTTGCGTACCCGAATTCGGACAACATTATCAACACCATAAATATTCCTCAAATAATTCGCGAGCTCCGCTTTGGACATGTCGCACGGGATGAGAAACACTGGTCGGGTTGTCTCATTATTGAGAACGCTGTCCAACATTAGTCGCACTTCCACGTCGGGAAAGTATCGTGCGAAAAAAAAGGGAAAAAACTCCTGTGAACGTCGCAACCCTGTTGGCGGTGGTCGTTGATGGGGCCATCCCCATTCCTCCGCCTTCTTCTTCAGAAACCCCATTTTACCAGCGATTGGGTTCCACAGTCGACTGCGGCCAAAGTAATCATTCACTGCGGGTTCCGGGAACGGACGAGGGTCGGGCCGCGTGTGTTGATATTCCCACGTGTTCCAGCCGGCGTGTATACGGCCCATACGGCGGCGCCAGAGATTGATGCCTTGATTGACCAGCGGGCGGTAAAAGCGGCCACGTGTGGCTACTGTCAGTGCGGGAACGGCGAGAAGAGAAGCACCACCAGCGGCAAGTGGACTGCTTGAGAGAGTGCACGCAGCAACACGACCGCCACCGGCAAGCCGCCTTATGCCGGCAGTGGTCATTTCTGCACAGGGTGCTATTCCTATGAAAGGATCCCTTACTACTACTGGACAGAAAGAAAGAAAAGGTGTTGAAATAGAAAATAAAATGAAAAAAATAAAATAAAAAAGTAAAGGATAAGAAAAATAATGAGGTAAAAGGAAACAGAAAGAAGGGATAGAATTTGAAGGCTCACTACTGTGTGGAAAATAAACCTTTTCTTTGGGGGAAGGGATGAATGCCTTCTTTTTTCGTTTTTTTTTTTTTTTTTTTTTAAGCAACTCTATGGATAAAGAGTCAAAACACGGAACCACTCTCGCGGGTTCACACGTCATGTTCGTTCGACTCTCTCTCTATATATATGGTGATTACGCTACTGGAAGAGAATAATAATGATAATAAAAGGAAAAATAAATAAAAAAAAAGGGAGGGAAAAACAAAACACACCGCACTGTGATTGACCCACTCTGCCAATAAATGTATTACGTCTTACTTTCGTCGCCCTCCATAATAATGTGCGATAATGCCTGTAATGTCGCCCGTTGCCGAACTCGTGTCGCCTCCTGCGCTTCCCGCCACTGAGCTTGCAGACGTTGCTGTTCACTTTCTGCCAATCGCAGTGACGCCTCCTTCTCGCTGAGTTCCCGTGTGAGACGAGTATTTGCTTCACCAACACGTGCAAGTTGCTCACGAACAACTGTTAAGGCTTCTACAGCACGCATCAGCTTGACTGTTTGCTGATGTTCTCGCACCATAGATGATGCAAGTTTCTGCTTCGTGTCATCCAGTGCTTCAATTAATTCTGTTAGTTGTTGTTGCGGTGGCGGTGGCGGTAGTGGTGGTGGTGTTGTTGCCTCTTGTTGTTCTTTTTTTGCTACCCAAAGTTCCTCCTTAACGCGTCGTAATTCCTCTTCAACACGTCGGAGCCTCGCCGTCTCGTGATGGTGGTTGGCTGCAGCCTCTTCAGCATCCTCAAGACGTTCTTCTAGTTTTGCTATAACAGATCTCTTTTCATCAATCTTTAACTTTGCCTCCGCTTCCAGTTCATCTAGTGCCAAGTCTTTTTTTTCAATCGTCTCACGCAAATTATGAAGTGTGCGAAGAAGGTTATCACGCTCACGATCCATGTTTTCTTTCATCTGTTGAACTGACAAATCAGAATCTTGTTTCTGCTGAGACATAACTGCCAATTCACGTTCCTTCTCTGTTACACATGCCAATAGACGTTCATTCTCACGTGAGAGTAGATGCTCTGATTGACGAACGATAGAGAGAGCATCCTTCAGTTGCCTCAACTCCTCCATATTCTCCTTCTCTCTTTGCTGTTTTTCATTTTCTTCTTGTTGAATAACTGCAAAAATGGGGTCACATCCTACATCTTTATGTATGGGTGATGTTACCCTTGTCGCCTGTACCTGCAACAATGCCTCACGGTAGTGTTGCTGCAATGAAGCAGTGTATTCCTCCCAAGACTTCTGATAACTACGGTGTTTTATCACTATGGATTCATATTCGTGATGCAGCACTTGAACATGTCTACCGAGAGAAGCAAAAAGATCAATCCACATTGCAGACTCTAACCGACGACGTACTAATAATTCATCTAACTGAAGACGATATATTTCTTCAGATAGATGTAACTCCTTTTCACAAGAGAGTAAAGAAGTTCTGCAACCTAATAAATCATTTTGTAGCTTTTTCATGTGATTTTGTGTTACCTCATTCTGCTTCTCTAACCACTCATTCTGTTGAATAGCATCATCAAGACGAGTATTTAATTCTGTAACTCTATCATTTGACAATTTTCGAACCTTTGAGAGTTCTTCACTCATACGTTTTAAAGAGGCAGCTGATTCTTTTTTTTGTTTAAGCAAATCATTACGTAATGCATTCGTTTGCTCTTCTAGTTCCACACGATTTCTTCTCTGAAGAATAGCAGTTTCTTCTGATCTACGTGAGAGTTCATCCTTTAATGCAGAAATCTGACGACAGAGTAACTTCTTTTCATTTGAAGCAGATTCTGTTAGTGCTACATGTGCCTGACGTACATCATTAAGATTACGGCGTAAATCTTCTTCTAACGCGACACGAAGTGAAAGCTGTTCTTGTGCACGCATAAACTTTTGTTCAAGGTGTTCGATATGTTCCTCTTTGGCTAAAATATTCTTCTGTAGAATTTCCTCTTCCACACTGGATACATGAAACTCCTTGTATGGAGGTATTGAAACATTGGTAACCACAGCACGTGAAATACGCTTTGAGCGGCACTGTGGTGAGGAAGAGTTTCTACCACCAACGTCTTTACTGTAACTACTACTATCATTACTGTCACTACTACTGGCACCAGTGGAAGAGCTTTCAGTGTATGTCATGCTTTCAGATACTTTAGATGTATTCAATGCTGTGGTAACGCATGGTAAAAGATCTGTATTACGCGGTTGCGGTGTTACATGTGGACTAACAACAATGGGAGATGATAAATCCAGTTCCTGGCTTTCAATTTGCTCATTGTGATTATCCGTCACTGTACGATCTATTTGCATTCCATCTCTTGTTGGATCATAACCACACGGTACACCGTTTAGCGCAAACAATCGCGGTAATAGCTGAAGGAGTCGCTCTGCGTAATTGGGTTGTGCCACACAGAATGGGTTTTCCCGCAATCGCAGTTGCTGTGGAAGAGTTGGTAGACCTATTGATGCTCGGGGTGTTTCCACCCGCAAATCTTGAAGATCTCTACAATTCTCTAGTGAACTTTCTAACTCTGACAATGTTGCTATTTTATTCCCACAAATATCAAGATGAAGCAATAACTTTGGACACGGCAAACGACGAAGACCCCTTAAATCTGTCAATTCATTAAAACTAAGAGATAACCATTCTAGACATGGGAGATGTTGAAAACTGTTAATGCTTGTTAAAAAATTACTAGAAAGGTTAAGACGTTTAAGCTGTCGAAGTCCTTTAAACGCGTCCTCATCTACTGCCCTAAGTTCATTTGCACTAATATCAAGTTCTGTGAGGTGTTGTAAATGACCCAAACACTCAATTCGTGAAATACTATTCATATGAACGTTTAATGAGGTAAGCTGTGTCATGTATTCCAAGTAACGGATATTACTAAATGAAAGGAGATTGCGACAACATAAAAATAGGCTGCGCGTGTGACGAAGTGTGCGAAGAGTTTCTTCAGGTAACGGCGTATTCTCCACAACAGGTGCATGCGCACGCTGAAAGACAAGAATCTTTGCTGGTGACGATGTCGCACTGCAGCCGATAGAACTACGTCGCTGCTGAATGGGAGAAGACTCCCTCTTGTTGGGCAACAGCAATAGTGGACCAGGCCGGCGTGGCACTGGTGTGCCAGCACGTACAGCTGGCGTGTTAGCTCGCATGCTAGTACAGCAACGTTGCTGTTTTTTTTTTTATTTTTATTTCCTTATCAATTTCTTCTTCTATTATTGTACCCTCGTGCGTGGAAAGTACAAAGGTATAGACTACAACAAAAAAAAAGAATACTAGAGGTCATGTACAAGAACAAAGTAAACAAAAAAGGAAAGAACATATTGCTTGAAGAGTAAAGGAAAAATAAGGGGGATGAAACGATTGGTATCAAACAGAAAGAAAGAAAAGAAGAAGAAAAAAAAACCATGCATATATGTATGTATGCATACCTCCTTGTGTAAACGTATGTATGTTGACGTTGAGCAGAAACACCAAATAGGGAGAGAAAAAAGATAGATAGATAATGACAAGTTATGTCTCTCTCTCTCTCTCTCCCTCTTGGTAAAATGAGGCCTGTTACATATTTATCCAATCATACTGCGTTTACGCCCGCGAGCCCGCACTGCCTCAAGTCTTGCAAGTGTGGCGGCACCCTTCTGCGCATCTACTGTGCGGCGGTAACCATCAAGAACTAGCGAAGAGGCAATGTGCTCGAGATAGGGATGCGATGACTTGATTGCACGCTCCAGCACGTACAGATCCACCGCCCGTTCTTCCGCACTGTTCTTGTCCATCACCAGACCAAAATCCAATACAACAAGACCATAACGAGCAGACGTCTTTTTCTTATATTCCTCTTTAGAGGTTTGGTAATCTTCCAATAACTGCGTCGTACACATGAAATTTGATGTTGTTAAGTCTCCGTGGATGATGTCTGCGTTATGTAGAAGACCAACGATTTCTCCTATACCCTGCAAAAGATATCTGTCCATTGTGGGAGCAGCATTCTTCGCTTGCTCGACAGATTGTTGTTGCCGTTGTTGATTGTCGAGAATATCACGTACAGTAAGGCCTTCAATGCGTTCCATTATAATTGCACAACGGTCACGATCAACAGCAAACACAGTTGGGGCGGTTACGCCATGTTTACGACATCGCATAAGTGCACGAGCTTCACGTACAGTTCGCTGTTCACGAAGCCTCTGATCCAATACAGGATGACGATAATCCTTGCGAAAGCGATGTTTACAAACGGCCCGGTAGTTGTAAAAGTCACACTCGTACACCTTTGATTCCGCACATTGTGAAAGCACAGAACCGACTTCCACAGAGCTTGTGTGCAATTCCATTTCAGTTCCTTTGTCCTTCATCACTCTTTCCTACCCATAAGAACGGAAGAAAAAACAAAAAAAAAAAAAAAACATTAACAGTGATCATAATAATGATAGTGGTCCTCATATTTTCTTTGATGGAAATGAAATAAATAAATAAAAAAAAACACCATGTCCTTCTCATCCAAAAATAAACACTGTTTCGCTCAAATAAAAGCGAAAGAAAGAAAATATATATATCAACTATAGGATTCTGGGGGTGGGAGAATACATCTTGTATAAGAGAAAACAATAGAAAGTGAAAAACATGGCACACTTGCGCACAAGAAGAAAAAAAAAAAAAGAGTGAAAAACAAGAACAAGGAAATAGTATAATACACGTATAGATTCAACCTTGCGTTTTACTTCCACGAAAAAAAAGCAACATCAAAAGCACAGAAAGGAAAGAGTTTGATTCAGTATAATCGAAGCTATGAGTCTCCATATCTCTCAAGCGTCCATTCACTGGCAAATCAAGTAATTCATTTAAACAGAAAAAAAGAAAAAAAAAACTACAGCACACGAACAGGTTGAGAACCTACGAAGTGGGAAACCTTTACATTCCCATCACAGCTACACTCTTCCTTCTAGAGAGTACTGGAGAAGGGTGGGAAAAAAAAAAAAAAACTTCAATCGCCAACTTCTAACGCAGTGTCTTATGGAAATAAATCAACTCAAAGGGAAAAAGAAAGAGTAAATGAAAACAAAAACACTCCTTCTTCATTTAATCCCATCTCAACACGCATTCACCTTCAGAAATATCCAAAATAAAGAAAAAAAAACGACCATGTAGAATACCTATAGAATGGATATATATATAGAGAGAGAGTGTGTGTGAAAACAAAAGAAAAGAGGTGAGCCTTCTCTTATGATGATTTCTGTTCGGCACTCTTTTTTTCTTCCTCACTGTTACTACCGACTACCTCGTATGGAAGTTCTGCGTCACGCTTTAGTAGTTTCTGGGAGAGAGAAGCGATCAGAATGGCACAGAGTGGGCAGGCAATGAGCATAGACAACACGGCGGTATTCTTCATAACACGTCCATACGCTACACGCCGCTCCGCCTGGGCTATCTCCTCCTCCGTTACCGCACGCAGTAACTCCTGCTGAGCGTTAATCATTGCTGCCGCGCCTAGTGCACCCTGTACGGATCCCTTTCCCAGAGACCCAATACCACAGAATAGAAGCTCACGCCATGTTAGGGGCATGCGCATGAGTCGCGGTGTCAGTACGGCAACCACGAAACGGGCGGCCAGACCGGCCACGGTGACGGCAATGGCGTATCCAATAAAGTCACGGTTAAAGACTTCGTGCACGTCAATATCCGCCCCTGTGAGAGCGAAGAGGGCCGGCATGACGGCGTAGTCCCAGACGGTGGCGAGGCTCCGCGCGAGATCTTGCCGGACTGCAGCGCCATTACCGGCCGCCCGCCGACTGCTGAGACGCCCAAAGACGGCAGCCATCGCGCTGGCCCCCACACCGGCACCCCCGAGGGAGGCGCCCATGCGGCCGGCAGCCAACACCGCGAAACTCAACAACAAAAAGAGGGCGAGCGCCCAGCGCCGGGCGTGAGTGGCGTGCCGCAGCGTCACACGGAGAGGGGCCGCGTCCGAGACAGAAATCCACTCCCCCTCTTTAAAAAGAACGTAGAAGAGAAAAAAGTACATGATGCCGCCAAGCGCAATTCCTCCAAAAAAACCGGCTATCATCTGCACAGGTGCGAGAATAATAGCGAGAGTCCTACTCATAGTAGAAAACTCAAACGCAAGGAGAAGTTGAATAGCCCATACACAAATAGCAGCATCTATAGTAGTACAGGTGAGCAGCATCATAGCCGGACCTCCTCGTGTTCCGTAACCTTTACGCTGTAAATCAATCAGAGCAGGAGCCACCACACTTGGGGCAATAGCAGAAACTATAAAACCCTCCATCATAGCCCATTGAAAATTTGGATATCCAAATAATTCTTTACAAAGAAAACCATGAACAACCGCTTCAGCAGCCATAGGAAGAATTCCAAACATCATATAAGAGAGAAGATTCTCCTTTAATGCTGTAATATTTAGTGACAATCCAGCTCGAAGAACTCCCACTGCAAGTCCAAATGTTCCAACGAATACCCGCATCGTTGATGAAATACCTGAAGTTAAATATCCCGTAGTTGGAATGTTATTGTATAAAATTCCAGCTGCAATAATACAAACAAGAGAAGGTACTCTGGAAATTCTTGATACAACAGTGCCCAAAACTCCAGCAAAAAAGATTGTAGTAGCCGTATCAAAGTATAAACCACCAGGAATAAAATCGGTGGGTGAAATAAGACAATACATAATAACCCATAATAAAAAAAAGCAAAATAGACGAAGTAAGAAAGAAAACAAAAACAGTCGGTACTTTCGATGAATTAAAGTTACATAAAAGCAAAACCGCTTACGGTCAAATTGAATAGCAAAATTTTTTTCGTTGTTTCCCACTCGTTTTATCTTATCCCAAGTATCTGCAGTAAAAGAAGGACGTCTTTCATACGGTTGGATATGCTTTTCAAAAAGAGCATGAACAATTTCAAGACGACGTTCTTCGCTACTCAAGGCATTAAAACTTCTTACAATGTTTCTCTCATGCATCAAGTCCTCCGTAGAAACGGGTTGTCGAACAAATATAGGTGATTCCGGCTGCATTTCCTCTGAAAATGGTCCAGGTACATGTTCATGTGTATATGAATTTGTGCTTGAGAAATCGACACTCACCTTTGTTGAAGCCCTCGAACGTACATCATAAGCTTGTGAGGTACGACGATGCGAAGAAGCCATTATTGATGTTGGATTTTGATAATCAACAAACACACTGGGACAGCGAGAAGAGGTTAAATCATCATCTTTCCTCGTGTGTTGTGATTGAAAAGAACGTGCTAGAGAGTGTGACGCTGTTTCTGATTTACTACATCGCAAGTCAGATCTACTTCCTTCGAATACTCTTTCAGGATGCTCTCCCGGTTCCGTGGCCACTTCATCCGAAAGTAAATTAATAATCTCTTGCTTCACACTATTAGTGCTTGCGTTACAAGGGGATTCTTCACCAAATACTCCAGAAGCTAAATGGATACTAGAAGATAACCTTACTGGATTATCATCTATACTAACAGAATGAGGAAGACATACCTCCTCCGAGGTTATTTTATTATCTTTGTGATGATTATTTGAGATGCCGCCTAACGGGGTCTCTGTGAATACGGTCTCTTGGTCGCCCAAATGATTTTTCTCCGCCAGAGGATTATTACTCGCCATTTGCCCAATGGAGACTCTTTAAAAACGTCACTAGAAGCACAATTAAGAAGTCAAGAGAAAAGACTTCAAATATTATTATTTTTTTGAGGGGGAGTGAGCTGTTGAAAAAAGAAATAAAAAGGAAGAGAACCGATGAATGAGGAGAAGTCCAAACACACAAAAAAAAGAGAGAAATTCAAAAAGAAAAAGGGTCATGTGTACGTAAATAAACCAAATAGAAATACGTACGTATTACAGATTGTTTTCTGCACCTATACAGACACCAGACGACATGGTGCAGAACTAAAAGAAAGGTAAGCCGAAAAAAAAAACTAGTGTTTGCTTCTACATGGGTAATAGAAGCAGAGATACAGCCTCAGTGTCGGAAAAAAGGGAGGAACACAAGTGCCCAAACAACCGCTCTCTTTTCTAAACGCACACGGTCCTGTCGTCTTCCATTACCTTCCAAGACAACATATGCTCTCCCTCTAAAGTGGCAGTAGTGTGGCCGGAAAAAGAGAGAAAGACATACAGCAAGGTCCGTAGCAGAAGAGCAGAAAAATATACGTGAGAAAAGAAATAATGTGTTGACACGGACAACCGAATGATCCGCATTTTACTTGACATCTATCTTATTATTATTTTTTTTTTTCGTTTCCCACTCCTTTCAATCCATTCATAGGCCTTGCCATCAGAGAAATAAACGTCACATCATGTGCCATACCAAAGTGGTACCACAAGTGAGGAGTTTTACAGGAGCACAGAAAGACAGTGGTAAAGATCATTGAGATTGGAAAACGCCAAAACAACACCAGACTGATCCGCCGCAGGTAGTTCCAGCAGCGCTGCTCCATAGCTTAGGGTTAGGGATTAAACAGCCGAATGCCTTGCCACCGCTCCTAACTACTATTGCAGTTAAAGCAGAAGCAGTGGGCACCCAACCAAGCGCGCTGTCCGGCACCTCACTCTCACTCTAACACCATCCCTCCAGTACTCCTTCACACACCCCAGACATAAATGCTGCAGTTCTTCCGCCAAGACAGGAACCCAAGGAATGGAAAGAATGAAGAAGCAGAAAATAACAAAAAAAAAAAAAAACAATAATAATAATAAGGAATGATTGAAATAGTTGGATCAACTACGGTGTGTCACACAAAGGCCGTGTATAGACAGTCTCGTTCCTCTAGGATTTAATGCTACTTCAATTAACCCATTCATAAAGGGGGAATCGGCAAAATCCTTTTCCTTGTTTTCCCTATCATCACCGGCTTTGCAAAGGAAATAATAAAACTCTGCTTATGGTTTTAGGAGAGTGAAGAATAGTCTATGGGATGTTTCCCATTTTGTATAACGGAATCCTTCAACACAAACTATAAAAATTAGGAAAGGGAAAACAAATTAATTCAAACCATATGGAAACCCTTCAAAAATTAATGATAATATTGGTGTGTAATAGCCAAGAACAATCAAAGCAACCAGACTATACAAATGTAATGTACAGCATAATTTCACCTTTCAAAAACAAAACAAAAAAACAAAAAAAAATACTTCAGTTTATTCCGTTCACCTCATAAAATGTATCCATTTCATTTACGAGAGAACAAAATGCAATATTCTAAAAAATACAAAAAAAAAGATATATATATATATATATATGACACGCCGAAAACCGGCCAGTTCATCCCACCCCTCCTTCTCTCTTTCTATCAACCATCTTTTTTTTTTTTTGTCTGACTCTCCAAATCAATCAATCAATCAACCAACCAACACACACACACACAGAAAGCAAAAGAAAAAAAAAAGACTGTGTGGTAATTACGAGACGATAGCATATATCTTTCTATGTTTGATGACTCAACGCCTGACGGAGGTCTGCAAGTAAGTTTCGCTCGTCGTCTGTCAGCATTTCTAGATCACTCGGCATCGGAAGACCCTCTTCTTCTTCTCCATGGCGTCCAACCGGCTTCACTTGTGTTTGATACTTTGAAGGCATTAGAATGGAGTTCGGTGGACGCTGCAGCATCATTGGAGGGTTATTGACATTATAGAATGTACCAGCGTTAGCTGGTGGTGCAGTGGACTCAATTGGTTTAGCGAGCTCTGCCGCTACAGCAGTGTATGTAGAATCTTGCTGCATCTGTAGACGTTCCGGTGAGTGTGTGCTCCTTTTCGCAGCTGATGTCTGCTCATCAAATCCCTTAGATGTATCTGAAACCATTCCTCGTGTGGTGAGATCAATCGCAACTGTTGAAGTAAGAAACTCGCGGCGTCGTTGTAGTTCAGCGTCAATAGCTGCCAAAGCCGCAAAATATTGCTGTGGCTGCGTCTCAGTACCGTATTTTTGTGTTTCTACATCCTGTGTCGTTGACTGCCTTGACGGCAAAGAGTGATACGATGATGGTTGTTCACAACCCTCGAGCGATTTAGGGTCTAGGTCTACAACGAGTGGGGCTCCTGATGTTTGCTGTGGTGCGGTGTAAACTTCCGTAGGTGCAGCAACCTCTCGTCGGGAATCCAATGCCGACGACTTACCGCCATTAGTCAAAGGAGTACATTCTCTAACTGTTGTTTCTCTTAGTGGATTATCCCTCTTCGAAACCTTCAAGTTTTGTTCTTTCGATATCGTTTGATTAACACTCTCTTGTGCACGCTGGTACGGTTCATCATATTCTTCTTCTGATACTCCCCGTAACAAGATTCGAATATTAGAAGAATCTGTAGCCTCATTTTTCCTTGTTGATTTCTCAGAGTGGTTTGAGGAAAACTGCACAGATTTTGAAACTACTGACGGTGATGCTGTTTGTAGATGTTTAGACTTTCCAAGAAACTGTACTGTTCCTTCCGGAACACGCCCTTGAGATTGCACTATCGAACGAGCATGTGCTACGGACGTAATAGCCTCTTCACTACCTCTATCTTCATTCTGTAATTTCGGCTTTTCTATTTTACCCTGCAGAGTATCTTTATCTCGAGTTGGTTTTATCATCATCATTGCGTTCGGATTTTCAGTGGTGTTAGGATTATGTGATGATCTCAACGCGGAGACAACAACAGCGATGACTTCATGTAAGTCTACATAACCACCAAGATCAAAGGCTAATGAATCACAATTACATGATTCCTCTTCTACCCAGTACGCTACAATTGCTTTTACCCCCACTACTTCCGCCGGTTTTAACTTTCGACGGTTCCCCATAGAACATTTCTTGCCTATATTTCTACTATCTATAATACTCACCGCTGCAAGCATTTCAGTAAGAACCCTTGTTAGCAAATGAAGTTCCACATAGCGGCGAGAGGCAATTGTATATTGCAAAACAGAGTGTGATGTGTCATCCTCACCATTTTCTCCGTTTTTCATAGAATGTGGAAGGATAACCTTCTGCACCTCTACCGTACTATACTTTAAAGCACTGCGATGAAGTCGAGCAAAGAGGGAAAGGTCTTCCAAAGCAGAGGAAGACTCATCTACAAAAAGTTCACGAAATAAGCGACATAGAGGACAAATACTATGGTATAGATGCAGACCATAAGCAAGCTCTTTTAACATTTTATTCCACTGAAATGCACCGTAGCGAGCTTTCAATACTGTAACCGTCAACGCAGCAACTGACCGTACTTGGCTATTATCAATTGTAACCAACTTTGCTACATAACTCATGATGTCTTCTACTAGTCGTGAGACCCATTGTGCAGAGCGTGTAGTAGTTGAGTGACTGAAAGCATTGTCTACATTGGATACTAAAGAAGAGGTAACGTTGTTGCTATTACGCCTAGAAAAAGATCGTTCCACTGAAGTTGGAAGCGAAACAGATGACTGACGAGGCGTTGAGCATCGCCGAAGAAATACTGACTGTCCATTCAGAAAAGGAGTACCTCCTCGCACATGCTGCGAACTTCCACGTCGGCCTCTAGCGCTCATACTACTCATTGCTCTATTTCGTACCCTTTGTTGTTGTTGTTGTTGTTGTTTTTGTATTTGTGATTTATGGGGTTTATGTGAGTCATCGCTAGCGAATGGGTGAGATGTATTGGCAGTGTAGAATTGTTCGGCGGTAACAACACTGTCCGTATTCCAATCAATAGTCCATGGACTAGAGTCAGCATTGGGGCCACTATTAAACGATAGTGACTTTCTCAAGGATGGGGACATGCCATGTGTTCGTGTGACCCAACGACCCAACGGCGATGTACCGCGGTGCTCTCTAGTTGCTGCACTTCCATCCCACCTTTGTTGTTCGTTTTGTTGTTTTTGTTTTTGTTTTTCTTCTTTTTGTTGTTGTTGTTGTTGTTGTGGTGGTGGTGGTGGTGGTTGCTTTACGTCTGCGGGTGTGAGAGGTGGAATTGATAATGCAGGATGCGTGGAGTTCACCCGCCATTCAATGTAAAGATTGTTCCAGTCATCACGGACAGCATGCCAGGCACTCTCATCAGCAGCAGCCAAGAGAAGCATGATCTTTTCCTTCTCTCTCTGTGAAAGTTCAGAGAGTACAAAACAAGTTGACATGAGTGGATACAGGTCCCTGTTATCCTCTATTCCTTTTCTTTTCGTGTTTACTCGTTCTTCTCGTCACCCTTATTTACAGAAACATATAAGAGGAATGATAGGGTAAGTGTACAGACAAAAAAAAAAAAAAGAACACAAAATAAATGAAAATAGAACCAACGGCCTTGAGGTAATAATAATAAAAAAAGAATATTAAGATAAAATTACAATCTATGAAATAAACACATAACTTTGTGCTCAGCTGTGCTCTACTGGATTGAAGCAGCAGCAGCAACAGTAAATAATCATACATTACCTCAGCCCATACAGTCTTAAATCAAGCTCCACATCTCGAGAGCCAAAGCAATGATAATCAAAGTTGAAAATTTCTTTTAACCCTATTCCAAGGTTAAAGGAAGAAGAACATATCGACTGATCTCAAGAGAAAAAAAAAAAACATTACAACAAAAATAAAGGAATCTAGGAACGACTTTGAAAACAACCAATCGACACACACAGACAAAAAAAAAAAATTCACTTTTGAGTGGCAAATGATTTTTTTTTTCTCTTTTTACAAACCTTCGGGAAAGGGAATTTGTGGGTAGCATTGGATGTTCTAACGAAAATAGTAGGATAAAAAAAAAAGCACAATTCCTTAATTGAAACATCTTCACTCTTGTGTCCTAACCATTTATATCATGAGGAAGAGAGTAGTTTTTCACGCAGAAGTAAGCCTTGTCGCTGAAGGGCAGCAACCTCCACTTTAAGATCGAGATTTTCCTTTTCCCCACACTCCAGTTTGTACGCCAAATCTTTTAAAATTGCAGACATGTATTGTAGTTGTTGTTTCCCTTCAATTTGTGCCGTCTCGAGATTAGCGCAGCGACGCTGCAACTCAAGTGCTGCCTCTTTGGCACTAATCGCATCATTCCGCCAGCTTTGCTTCTCTGCCACAGTACTCTCCAATTGTTGTTGTTGTTGTTGTGTGACTTGTTGTTGTAGCTTTAATAGATCCCCCACAGTTGAAGAATGGCATTCTGCCATCTGACGCACCACATCCTTTAAAATCACCATCTTTTTTTCCACCTCTTTTGTTATCATTGTCTGGTCTTGGTATGGTTGTGCGGTTGGTGTCATGTTACTACTCACAAGCTCTGCGAGTGCGTTGCATTGAACACTCAATTCTTCTACTTTTGTCAACAGTGATTGAATGACGGAATTACGTAATTGCTCTTCCCCTGATTGCTGTTGCAGCAACTGCAATGGAAACTGATGTTCCCTTTCTGGAAAGTGAGAAGTATTCTCCTCCGAGTCAAACAAATGTTCCTCTACTGCAATACCACCGGATGGTTTATCACTCCCTGAAAACTGGAATAGAGGAACAGCCTTAGATACGTCATTATTGGTATCTTTAGCATCTGAGTTTAACGCCAACTCTGAGGTTTTATTGTCCAGCTGAAGTTTTGTTGGAGGTAAATAGTCTTTTCCAAGGAAAGCTTGCTTTGCTAACAGTAATGCAGCATGCCGTGGATGTTCTTCAACGAAACGCCTTCCACCTGTGACGGTACTGTGGGTTTCTTTTTCGGAGTAGAGAGATGAACTCAAGACTGGTTGAATAGTTTGCGAACCTGTTGTGAATTCTAATGTCTTCCTTTGACTCTGTGGTAGATATTCTGCTAAAAGCCCAGGTGTAACGTTCATCTGTTCCTTCTCTTTTTTTACTGGAACTACATCCCTCTCGTGATGGAATGAGTTTCGTTTGGGAAATGAGCCCGTAGAGGAATTAACTTCTGGTAGCACAGCGTCCATATCCAGTTCAGTATAATTACCATTCCTGTCAACACCCTTTATGAAGTTACTCTTGTTGCCACTCACAACCCTCTTCTTACCTTCATATTCGTCCGGAAGGTCATTATTATTATTGTTATTATTATTAACTGCAGCAGCAGCAACAGCAACATGGATTTCGGACTGTTGGGTTCCTTGTCGTTTGTTCGTTTTCGCTTCTAAACGCTTAGAATCCACCTCTACACTACTCGCTGAGTCAATATTTCTTGTTTCACTTAATCGAGTACTTTCTTTTTCCTCCATTTGAGAGGTGTGTTTTTTCTTTGAATTTTTCTCTTCGCATCGCAGTATAGGCATCGCTTGACTACACCCATCGTCGTCTGGTCTTACTTTCACTACATCTGTCGTTTCCCGGTCTTGTTCTGTTGTGAGAAGCCCCTTTTTACTGCTGCTACCATTACTCTTGTTGTTGTTGTTGTTATTATTATCATCATGATCATGATCTCCATCATCATCATTATCATTATGAATACTACTGATGATGTTGCTGTTTGAAATTTCTTCCTCTGCTGCTTCTGACTCCGGGGACTCAGTGGAGTATGCACAAGACATTGTAGTCAATGGAGGAGCTACAACCGCGTCATGCAATGTTTCCTTAGCAGCAGTAGCATTAGTAGTAGTAGTAGTAGTGGTTTTTGTTTTTCTTGTTGGTGCTACAACACCTTTCTCTTCACCATCTAATTCAACTTCTGTCCTTTTCACTTCTTCGTGAGTATCTTTTTTGGATTCTGAAGAATCACCACCGCCGGTAAACACTGATTCCTCTGCTTGTGGTTTTACACATTTATCATCCGTTTCTTTCTTTTCTTCTGCCTCAGAGTGATGAGGCGAGGCGGATGAGTATAAGACACTTCCTGCATTACTTGTATTCTTCTCATTAGATTCTGGTGGAACTTCATCCATGTGTACATTCGATACTGATCTGGTCTTCTTTTGACTATCACGACTAGCATTACTACTATTACTACTACTACTAGTACTACCACCACTAGTACTACTACTAGTACTATTACTCCTACTAGTACTACTGTTACTATTACTTTTATCATTACCATGACTGTTCTCTATTGACGCACCACGTGCAGAAGCGGGTATCACAGGATTCACTAAAGGTCGTACTTGATGCATCATAAACTCCACAACACACTCATTAGATTCCCGCAGCATTGAGCGAACTAATACCTCCACTTCAGCTGCAATCAACTCTGCACGGTGTCGTTGCACCAACTGCTTTAGGTATTGAAAAGTGGCATGTTCCGCTGCATAATTTGAATTAAACGATTGACGATCCACCTTTTGCAACGCCTGAGACTTTGCGGCCTCTGACATATTACTATTTGATAACACCCCCTCCATTTGTCGCACAAACAATGGTGGTAAAAGCGGTTCAGGTAATTTACGTAAAAATAATGTCAATAAAGCCACAAAGTGCGGTGCACGGAGAGGCATTTTTGCAAACAGACTACGAAATGGTTTCTCAAACACACGATTGGCTCGTTTTCCTGAAGGCTTCTCTGCACGATTACCATTTTTCTTCTCCACCCGCACACGTTTATTAAGCGAGAGTAGTTTACTCTTCTTTGCAAAATCGTTGATTGTCTTCTCTGCGGATGCAATCCATATACTGTCTGGTGATACAGCGGATGGGGAACTGTTGCCGTTTTTATCCGCACCCGTGTAGTCCTTCTCCTGCTGTGTATCCCAGTAGAATGCGATATCCTGCAGCAATATGGGAACGCTGGGAATGTAATTTGTTGACTGCAACACCGCCCGCTGTTCATACACGACGAGTGTACTCACCGGAATGCCAAAGTACGCGAGCAGCCGGTCATCACGCCGTGACCGCGGCACACACATGGACGTTCCCATGGCGTACACACACAAACAAACACACCGCCCCTTCACAGGAAAACCAAAAAATCTATATATATATATATATATATATGTATGTATCGCCTTAAAGTAAGGGGGATATATATATATATATATATATATGAAATTAAAATAGAAAAGAAAGGAAAAGAAGAAAACAAGTAATAGAGAGAAATGCTCTTGTGATACGAAGGAGATATCTGCACACAGGGGAACATAATTATATTTTATCTTGAAGGGCATGTTTGTGTGGGTATGTTAAGAAGTCATAAGTTGTGATTGAAAAAGGTGAGGGAGACACTTGAACTGACGTTTCAAGCGATGCACAAGTGCAATCATTCAACAAAAAAAGAAAAAATGAAACGAAAAAAAAAATAAAATAAATAAAAAATGCCTTTCCACTTTATACAGCAAAAATCATACACACACAAAGACAAACAGACAATAAAAAAAAAACTAGAACAGAGGAATAATAATACGGGAAAGGGAAAAAAGCAAAAAAAAAGGGACTTCAACGGAAAGCATAACAACAATTAAAAAAAAAAAAAAAACAAGCTCTTTTCTGTTTTTTTTTTTTTTTACCTTTAAACTCAAATCTCAGAAAGTGCGTCACAATCACATACAAAAAAGACAAATGAGAAAGGTGAACAAATCGTAGTAAAAACGAAAACCAAACTAAAAAAAAAAAAAAAAAAAAAGAACCCAAAAAAAAAAAAAAAAAAAAATGAGCATAGAAGTTCTCTTCCGCTTCAAAGACATCAAACTGATAATCTATTATCACGATTCTTACTTTTCTCTCTTTAATCATTTGCTCTATTCGAGCCCATATATAATATCCGTTCCCAACGTATCTTCGTACGTCTCAGTTTATGTGCCTGCGCCAGAGCTAGTTATTAAAATAAAACAAAAACAAAACAAATGGGAAACGTGAACGCTCAACAACCATCAGAAACGTTGTCCAGAAAAATAAAGGGTTACTGACACACATATACACAGAAAGAAATAAAGAAAGAAAAAGATACAAGGAACAGCAACACCAGCGTTACCACTGTTGAGTTGGAAAGGGTCTTCCTCATAACAATGGCACAGACTGAATATACCTTTGTTTATTTTTTTTTTCTTTTCTTTTTTTTCTTTTTCGATCATTCTCTTCCCTTTTTTTATTTTATTTTCCATTTCAACTGTCTCTCTTTTTCTGGACTATGTTCCATCCCATACGCATTTCTGCAGTACCGTAAACACATAAACACAAAGAGAAGAAGAACATTATTGTTAAGAAAGGAAAACCGGCACGCGTAAGAGTGGGAAAAAACGACAAAGATAGAGGGAAGGGAAAAATAAACCCCTTATCTACTGCGTTGAATAGAGATGGTAATCTTAACGAAAGAAGAATCACATAGAGTCTTCACTATAATAATAATAATAATAATAATAATAATAATAATAATAATAATAATAATAATAAAACAGTAAAAAAAGAAAAGACATGTGAATCGCTTCTGTGGTTTTTACTCTTCACTTTTCACGGGTTCTTCAGCTGCCACATCACTACAAGCAGAATCCACTGAATCAACTTCACATGCGGCATCCAACTCAGACGTTATATACAATAATTTACTCCATTCCTCTTCATTACTTTCACTTAAAGAAAGAGTTTTTTCAGGAGATGATGTATCATCCTTGTAAACATCAAGCCACCTCGTTTTTTCCCCTTCATCCCACTCAAGAACTCGCTTATTAATTTGTTTTAACTCTCGTGGAGGACATGGATCAGGATCTTTCCTATACAAAAAACCATACACCTTTTCTATTGGATGATATCCTTTTAACTTGAATGACTTTCTCCGTGGCCCTAGAAATTCACCATTATTGGTGGTATAGTGGTGTGCCTCCAGTGGGTGAGGAACGGGAACAATAGTGCTAAGACTACCAACTGGAATATATGCAGAGAGTACAGATGTCCAGACAACGTGGTCCTGTAAAGTACGACATCTAAACAACAAAAATAATCGTCTTCTACCCCTTGTGAAAGAAATTGCAAAGTAATAAACATCATCAGATTTTTCACTTCCAGAAGATGGGGTAGAAAGCACACCACGTACCTTTGAAGATATCTCAGGATGCATAAAAGGCGCCACATGCCGCAGAAGATAAACAGGGCGCTGTTTCGTACCGTCCTTTTTTCTATGCGGCTCCTCAAACGGTATAAAACAGTGCGCCGACGATGGTGACAGTGACTGTTCAGGTTGATGGTGCATGTAACCAATGCCTTCTCGGGTAACAATAACGTATCGTTTCTGCCAATCGTGTGTAGAAAACAAACCGCCACCAACAGAGTATTTCTCCAGCCACCCCTCACACTGTGGCAAACCGTTCACCATAACCACATGAGCCGACGTCATTTGGAGACTACTAAAACTCATATGAATGTATGAATGGATGTATGGATATAAATATATATATATATATATATATATATATATATATATGCTCTTGTCGGTGGAGGATAACTAAAACGATAATAAGCAAGTGTTCCCTTCAGGCACAATAGGTCTTCTAAAGATTGATATATGGTAAGAACAGCCAAAGGATATACTTTTTTTTTTTTCCTTCGCCTACAATTTTCTCTTTTTTTTTTCTATTTTGGTTTCGTTTCCTTCGGAAACCGTTTTTACTTCTTCCTTCTTAATTTCAGATATTATTAATGTTTTATTTTACTGTATATAAATATACAAGTAGGTATATAAGTCTTGAGAGAGGGGGGAAACCTAGTAGTATAAGTTAAACTACTACGGAATTTCAAAAAGAAAAAAAATTCTTTTGAAGATTAGAACCCCGCATTAGGAAAAAAAAAACATCATAAAGAATAAAAAGAGAGAAAAAAAAAAGAAAAAGTCACGAAAAAAAACAAGGAAACAGATCAGACACAATGTCAAAGAGTATCACAATTCTGCATACGTGTGAATGAGAAGGAGTACAGGGTGTCATAAAAGCCTAGCAAAGCAAAACGAGAATCAAAAAAGTGGAAACTCAATTCCACAAAACATAAACGGAAAAAAGAAAAGGAAAAAGAAAAAAAAAAACGAAATACTTCATGACAATAAGAAAAAAGAAAAGAAGGAGATTTGCAACAATGCCCTAGATGCAGGTGTAACAAAGTCTAATTCTTCCTCTTCGCCACCACACCCCTTCACTGAAGGAAAAAACAGAAAAACACCCACACACACACACAGGGAGAGAGAGAGAGATAAACACATAACGGGATTTTTCCTTTTTTTTTTCTCTCTCTTTTCTCCCTTTCTCCTTTCTCTTCTTTCTTACACCTTAGTATTCACCATCACCACCATCACCACCACACACTTACGCATACGCACAGATCATGCTTCCGGAAAAATAAAAAATTCTTTTTTTTTGTTTCCTTATTGCATTTAGTTTTCCCATTGGGATCGACAGAAAGCCATTAAAGTAAGCAGAAGGGCATCAGTTCCTGCAAATATTTTTATCTCAGCAACTGTTGTATTTTTAACCAGTGTTTGTGTAATAGGGGTAAGAACGGTAACTTCACCTACTAGTTCCATTCCTCCATTCGTCTGGCTTGGGATACTGCTTAAGACAGTGCCACCACTGGTGCGTTGTGGACGCCAAACGGCATACGTTTCTCCTGCAATAGTTACATTTGTTTTTGGTGTTGAGATAACATTACAAGGCATAAAGCCTCCTGTCCCAGTAGGTAGAGGCATAGAAGTACATCCATCCATGGAATTGTTATTGTTGTTACCAAATAAAGAGGCATTTGAAAAAGAATCACCTCGTCCACTTGTATCTCTTCGTCTTACAGTCTCTTTTAAACGCATTACGTATTCCACATCTTCTGCCTTACTCTTCTTACCAGCAGCATCCCAAGCTAGTGTCAGGTTTGAATTTTGATCAAGATAGCAAGAAGCAAAGGTACGGTCTGATGGCGTAGAGAAACAAAGTGTACTACCAAATAGTTTCCATTTAGTTTTGATTTGCGCAATGGGAGAACGTTTATCACCATAATACACAAATGCATCAAGAGAGGCTCCAGATTCAGCTGAAAACCAAAGAATACTATTTTGTGGATCTGTTGAATCCGCTACCACAAAATTTTCTCTGTTAATGGTACGACCATCAAAAATACAATACCAATTTACTGGTTCCTTATCATGCACTATCCAAGGTGAAATCGTACGATCACTACGTAAAGCATAGTCCGGAAATGAACAACGACCACCTCCAAAAAACATAGGAGGAGGAAGATTATTAACCAATTCACGATATCGCTTATTCACTATACTTAATTTCTTAAGAACAACTGGACCTGCAAACTCTAAAGCGGTAAGAAGCTCTACAGAACGTAGTCGTAGGTCTAACACTTCCGCAGCGGAGAACACAATCGTCCTGCTACCACTGCGTACTGCAGCCGAGAGTTTCAGTCTTCGCCCAGAAGGCAATGGTGCAACATCTTTAGCAAGACATTGATTAGGATTTGGTATCTTAAAATTCACAAATTCCTTTGATGAGGCACCACTATTCGAATAATTTCTTGACATACTACCATTGGAATCCATAAGAACTTGATTTAGTTCTGAAATACGCCGCTCAGAGACAAAACGAACACCACATAAAATGTTTCCAATTAATGGACTTTCAAAAACAAAGAAAAAGCGAACTCCACTCTGCGCCACTTCATAACACACACAACCGGTAAAGGGAAATACACCCCAACCCTGTGATTGCAGCTGCGAGAGACCACAGTGTCCTGGTGGAATAGTCCCGGGAAAGTGCATACCCTCATAAAATGTGGCGTTTGGAATGGAATAGCCCACTAATCGAAATGATTGAGAAGTGGTATTTTCTATGCATATTACAACACCATTGCGTACAGAACTCATTTGTCGATTTAAAACCATAAGAGTTGATTGAAGCACGTTAATAGGTAACAAATGAGAAGTACGCATTGTAAGAAGAGCTCGTGCCTCTTTTGCTAAGCGTCGCCACTGAACAAGCTCTGGATCATCACTCCCTAGAACCTCAAGAGAACCAGGAGGGGATGAGAAAGAGCGAGCAAGTGTAACTTCACCATTATTGTGCTCGGCCATTGATCCTATTAATTTTGTTCGTTCTTGTTGTTCTACCTCACTACGATTGAGTTTCAGACGCTCTATATCTTTCATTTGAAACCCACGTTGTGCCCAAAAATCCTCATCTGTGACTTCTTCGGCAAAAGAATTCCTATCAGAAGCACTTGTTGAAAGAAGAAGTAATTCTGCCTTCTCAAAGGCATTTACAGCTTCAGCTATACGAAATAGGCGCAAGTACTCTCTACCCATAATAAATTGAGCTTCTGGTGAACGACCAAGAGAATATGCAGCGGCAGCTTGTGCATCTTCCATTGCCTTTTCATGTTGTTTCATAGCTGAATACGCGTCCGCGCGAAGAAGTAGCAATCGAAGCATCTGGGTGCGATTTAATAATAACCGTGGTTGTGCTTGAATTGATCCATTAACTCCATCTGAATCTCCTTGTACAACTACACCTTGAATGATATCATGACCAGATAAAGATCTATTTGTCCTATTAGTACCCATACTGCTTGAAAATGAAGAGGTGACTTGACTATTCCTTATTCTTCCATCATTGTCTCTCTCAGGGGCAGAACGAGTCCGATCAAGTGATGGAGAACGCAGAGAATTATCTTGCCCTAAACTACTATTATCACAAAATTTTGCATGAAGAAGTGCCATTGTAACAGTTTTAATGGCGTTTTGGTAGTTAGAGTGAACACGTACATCTTCATGCACACGGCGAATAACGTCGTGCATGGGACCTGATGGACGTTCCATCATATGGTTCCACTTTCGCTTTGTGAAGACAATATAAACCCCACTTAACTCGATATTTCCTACTTGAAAAGAGTAAAGGAAACAAATTAAAAAGAAAAAAGAAAATAATAACAAGAAAAAGAAAAGAAAAAAAAAAAACAATTGTCGTTGAATCAGATGAACACAAACAAAAATTTATATAAAATTTTACACAGTGTAAACCCCCTTACTTCCCTTGGGGAGGGGAGGGGGGTGCGAAAAAAGGGTGAAAGGCGATGTATATATCATGCACGTGCGCCTGTGTGAGTGTGTATGTGAATGCAAATGTATGTAAACGTCCGCTGAACATATATATGTTCTTTTTATTCGTTTCTTCTTTTCTTTGTTTTTTTTTTTTTTCCTTTCTTTCTTTACACATCCGTGCCGGTGCAGACGTGCATCCCATACAGCGCAACTCCCCCAACACGTGTTTACTGTTTATTCGTCCTCCAAGTACACCTGACTCCCGAGTGACGCGTAGAGAGTGGCCTTCAACTCACTCAACGCAGCCTCAACATTCTTCAGCTCCGCCTCCTCGGCTTCCTGTTCACTTTCCAGCCGTTCCCGCTCGGCCTCCAGCAACGCCTCCGCGTCGTCTGTCTCGGTCTGCATGAATGTCTCACCAAAGAGATACATCGCACCGTCGGCAATCATCAGTTCGTCAGCAGCATCGCTGAGTTTCACGATCTCGTCCTTTCGTTTGGCGATGGCCTGCGTTAGTTCCTTACGGCGACGGTGCAGACGAGCAAAGACACATATACGGTGTTGGTCATCCTGAGTGACTTCAACTCCCTTTCCCTTTAAGAGTGACATGTCTCCTTGTGAATTTGTTCTTTTTTGTTGTTGTTGTTGTTGTTTTTCTCGTTCGTAGTAGTTTCTATCTGGTTGTTAATGTTAGCTTCGTTGTCTTTACAAATTAACAGTGTGTGGGTAAATGTGCGTTTGTTAGCTCTTCTGGGTTCAGGAGAGTACAACACGAACTTCTTCCTATTCGTTTATTTCCTTTTACTTTTACCTGCGAACAAGTGAAACAGAAAAAAAAAAAAAAAAAACATTTACAAAGTAAGAAGAAGGATAACAAATAAAGTGTCCTTTTTTGTTGTTGTTTTGTTTCTTTTCAGTCCTCAGAATGTTCTTTTTATTTTTTATTTTACCTTCAGTCAATCAAAAAAAAAAAAAAAAACATACACACATACACACACACAAAGAGGGACAGGAGAGGAGTGAGTGAGTGAGTGAGTAAGGGAGAGAGAAAGAGAGAGACTTCCTTCAAGTTTCTCTATCTATCTCTTTCCTCTGTATCGGTGCATATGTATCTACTAAGTAACAGGACTCATCCCACTCTTATTTTTTGTTTTCGTCATGGTGTATCACACTAATATTAAAGGGAACTGGGAATAAAAACTAATAAAAAAAAAAGAAGGAAACGCATTACATGAATAAAGCATGTAATAAGAATGCGGATGTTGCCAGAACCACATCCTCTGTTGAGACCCTATTGTTTCTACCCAACAAGGACACAACAAAACTATACTAACTATCTCTTTTTTCGATCGGCTGCTTTTTTAAACCAGGGATGCCGCAAAGCCTCAGATGCAGTCAGTCGACGTCGCACATCACGTGTAAGCAACTGTCGCAGGAGATCTTTCGCCTCACTACTAAGTAACGGTGATGGTCCTACTTGTTGTTGTCCAGTCATAATCATTTTGAGTAATTTACTGCGGCGTTCATCATGAAAAGGAAAAGCAGAATGTAAGAGAACAAACATCGCTACACCTGCTGACCACATATCAACAGAGGTGTCATAACCCACATGTCTTGACATCAAAAGCGGATTTAGACTTTTTCCCGTTTTTCCTGCCCATTTTCCTCTACTTTCATGATTTTCTTCAGAAGGAGTATTGACAGTATCTACAGCCCCCTCCAAAGATTTTCTTGGAAGAGGAGAAATCGGTGGAAGTTTCACACGTGCAACCGAATTGTTTTCCTTTGATTCTGTTAACTTCATCTGTTGTTTTAGTTGGACTGCAGCACGAACAATCTCCGGGGCTACATAGTGGTGAGAACCACAAAATTCACTTAGTAGCTTCTCCTTTCCCCAATGAGAGTTACTATCAGTCTCTGCACCACTATCACTAAGTCGTCGCAATTTTTCACAGAATCCGTAATCAATAAGATGGGCCTTATTATTACTATCAAGAACTAGATTTTCAAGTTTTACATCACGATGTACAATTCGACGACTATGAAGATGTTCCAGAGCGAGCAAAAGATCTAACATGTATGTTGCTGCTTTTACCTCATCCAGTGGCTTACGAGAGATCAGTGTGAAGAGATCTCCTCCACCTAATAGTTCCATCACAAGAATACACTGAATCTTTCCTTCTCGTAACAACAATCGTACTTCCTCAATAGTTTTACGTGTGGAATCTGCGTTGCCATCAAGTGACGTGCGTGGGTCTGGCACAACAGTACTAACACCAGGAACCTGTTGTGAAGGACCAACACCAGACTCTCGAGATCTACACTCCAGAGTCACAGGAGAATCATTAACACCACAAAATAGAGATCGTCTCCATGTCTTATGTGGAATTCCCTTTGCACTTCCGTTGCGCTTTTGATTATTATTATTATTTCCTCTCTCGTCTAAAACTGGTCTCGTGCTGTGGGATACGGTACATCTCAGTCGTGGTGCGTACCGCTGCAGACGGTGTTGCAGTTCTGCAGGGTCATGTACAAAGACATCACTAGCGGAGACCAAATTTGGATGATCTACTGTAAGCGCAATGGCGATTTCTTTAATAAGCCCATCCGAAAACCTTTGCGGTGCGGTATCATCACCTATCGCACGCACTGCTGCATCCGGTCTTGTTGTGTTATTAGGCTCTACTGTTGTGGTAGCTATTGTTGGGGCGATAGTGGTTCCATCACAGTCTCTTTCCTTGTTCTTCTGAGCACTATGTTGCGTTTCCTTGCGGAAAACAAATTTTGCCGCTTTCCGCTGCCTCGTAACGCGATGAACGACTTCCACAACAACTCCATAACTCCCGCGGCCAAGCAGCTTGCGTATTCGGTACAATCGCTCAAATTCACTCAGTAAATGTATACGCCGAGGCTCTTGCATCTCCGCTGTGGTACTTAAATCTACTGATAGTGTGCATGAGGCGATACTGTTCGCAAAAACATCCGGTGGTTGAACACACACAGCAGCAGCAGCAGCGGGAGCAGCGGGAGCTACAGGGGAAGGGTGTGGTAATGACAACGGTGCATCGTTTACTGCAGATGGTTTTTTACTACTATCGTTATTGCCAGTATTGTCGTTGCTGTCTTTGTTATTGATGTTGCTATTGGTGTTGTTGGTGTTGTTGTTATTATTATTGCTACTAATGCTGCCATCACCAGCACCCACAGATTCCTGCAGTGCTGATACGGCCTTCCTTACAAGCATACAGAAGAGAGTGAGAGGCGGTGTCCTTTTCTTCTTTCACCCTTTTCCTCCTAATATCACGGTGGAAAACTACAGAGATACCCCCACGTGTATCAAAGAAAGAAATAATGACTCTTTCTAAAAAAAACAATTTGAAAAAGAAAAGTAAGAAAAATGTAAATTAGACGCGAAAGCCAAAAGACCTACAGGTACATAAGAAGAAGCTCACAAAAACAAGAACCACAACTATGTTTGTCATTTTAATAGAAGGGATAGAGCAATGGAATCATGATTACAAGTATGAAAATGAGAAACAATGACGGGCCAAAGAGGCATAAAAAAAAAAACAAAAACAAAAACAATAGAGTGTATCCCAAATAAATAGTTACCAATAAATATATAAATAGAGGCACAGATACAAGCATAAATGTAAAAATACATTTAAAAGAACATGCAGACAAGCTGGCACCCCGTTCCAATAACCCCCCAAAAAAATAATAATAAAACCAATGAGAGCAATTAATTATTATTTTATTTACATTATATTATTATTCTTACTATGACTATTGCTCGTACCATGTGTATTCTTTTTAGTAAACAAAAAGTACATGATATACCAGCAAACATCACACTTTTTTTATTTATAAATGCAACACAGGAGAAAGAAAAAAATGTATTTTCTTTCTTTTTTTGTATGCGTGTTTCCAAGTACTAATAATAGAGGTCTAAACAGTAGCTAGGCAGTACTACCATTATTACTGTAATGTCCTTATGATGTAGAGACGTCAGAGATCCACTTAAGTATCTCTCATTCACTTATATATATAGAGAGAGAGAACAGAAACAGCATATGAGGTACCTGCAAGTTTAGACTTGTGAAAGTATAAGAAACTACTTCGTTTATATATTTCTCTCTTGAAAACCTCTCAAGAGCATACACCCTCTACAGTAGTCTTCAGGGCTCTTTCCAGTGAAACCGCTGTTATCATTGTCGGTTTGTCATCTTATATCGTGGCGAATTGATTGAATCACATCAATCTGAAGAAGTCTTCATAAAGATTGCATATATATATATATATATATATATATATATATATATATATATATATATCATCCACTACAGGTGAAAGAGAAAAAAAGAAACCTCAAAGAATAAAGAAAGAGCACAGTGTTCAATAGATAATTATAAACAAACAACAGAGAAAAAAAAAAACAGAAGGAAAAAAACAAATTACTCAAACATTTACTCATAAATACACAAGTAAATGTATGTATGCATATATTTACGTATTTGTGAGGGTATACAAACCCAAAATGAGGAGGGATTTATTTCTCTCATCAATAAATTCATATTGTTGCCTTATTTTTTTTTCTTTTTCCCTTCCATTAATTCGTTCTTTTCCTTCTCTTTTTTTTTGTCCATAAACATTTCATCCGATAATAGAGCGAGTAAAATAAATACAAAAAAAAAAACTCCTCCTGAAAAAAAAAAGTAGAACCACAAAAAAAAAAAAAGAATGCGGATAATGAATAAAAACATTCAACTTTTTTTTCCTATTATATTTCTTTTGACTTTCCCACTACTTTTAGTGCGATGTCAAGACCTGCTCTCACACATCTAGGCACACGCACGTATGTACATCAAAGGAAAGAGTAAATCCGTAAATGAATGAATGAATAAATAAATATAGAACGCATTCCCAGAGAGGTACATACCTCATATCCTTACAAGAAGTTTTGCGTACTCGATATAAGCGTAATTCTCAATTTCTTTTATTTTTCTTTATTAATTTCTTGCAACTACAGCAAAGATAGTTTATGTTTTTCCTACAAACTATTCGTTCGCACACTCTCATTCTTCAGCATAAATTCCCTATAAACCTTTTATATCGTTGTTTTTTTTTTTTTGTCTTTCTCTTTTCTTTTTCCCCTTCTTTTTATTCCATATATGAGCTTTATTCGTGTATGTATATATCGTGTACTTGGTCTCTCATTCTTTTAATTGTAATAGAAATAAGAATAACAATACTGCTATCATTGCTATTGCTATCCAAAATGTGTGTGTGTGTGTGTGTGTGTGTTACGCATTGCCGTAACAATAATAATAATAATAATAATAATAATAATAATAATAATAACGATGATAATGATGTATTTCCGAGTTTTTTTCTCTCTACCTTGTCCTGCGTCGTAATCGCAGTTAATATTAACACGTCAAACCGTCTTTTTTTCGGTTTTTTTTTTTTCTTTTTGTTTCTCGTCGTTGTTGTTTGTTTCATTTGTTAATTCGTTTTATTTTCAAGGCGATAGGCCACGCAACCAGAAAAAATAACAATATAAATAAAAGAAAAGGGACAAATAGCGACTCTCAATGCATAAATGCAGCAGCAGCAACCTCAATAACTCGTTGACAAACAAGGTGGTGCCGCTACTGCTGTCATCATCGTCCCTGCCCAGCAAACAAAAAAGAGAAAAAATAAAACAAATAAAAAATATAAAGAAACTACCCCGATCATAAATGCCTCCGCAGAGTATCTCAGAGGAGTAAGGGATACAAGAAGGCTCGGCAGAGAATTAAAAAACAACAACACACGAATAAAATAAAATAAAATAAACGGAGTAACACAGAAAAGAAAAGAAAAAAAAAGTAATGGACAGAACTACCCCCGCCCCAGACACACATCAAGTGACTGAGAAAAATGAAAAAATGGACATTCAACCTAAGTGTGAAAATAGGAGTAGGAACAAATATATATATATATATATATATATATATATATATAAAGAAGAAGCGGCAAATTCTGTCACATTAAGTTCATTTGAAGGTGTACATCTGAAAAAAAGGAAGAAAAGAAAATACAATCCGTAGAAAGAAAAAAAAAAAGAAATGCAATATATCGAGAACAGAAAAAAAAACACTACCGCCACAACTTCGTGGTCCCACACACAAGCAGAGAAATTGTGAACGAGAAAGAAGTTGAAACAAGAACAACAACAACAACAACAACCAATATTAGCACCGAAAACAGTATCAGGAACAGAAGCACGAACAAAAGTGCATATATGTGTATAAAACGCCACGAAATAATAATAATAATAATAATAATAATAATAATAATAATAATAATAATAATAATAAAGTGAGGGTACGAACACTTACTCCAGCAAATACAAAGTCTTCTCTCTGAAATTGAATAAATGCATAAAAAAGGAAAAAAAGGAAGTGATCAAGCAACGCAAAAGGTACGGCTAATCACGACATATAATTTGTGTTCTCTCACTAAAACGCTCTTTAAGATCATTTTACTCCGAGGCATACACAGACTCCACTTCATCGCACTATTGATCCCCCAAGAAGACTGTAATGTTGTGGCTTCTGCAGGTGTTGTTCCAATTTTTATATTCCTACAAATTATTTTCTCATTTATTTTTTTATTAATTTCATTCTCTCGTTCCAGCACTGAATGCGTAAATAAAATAATAATAAAAATATGACCCACTATAGACTTGTTGGGACCGTTTTTTTTTTTTTTATTTCGGTCCATTTCATTTCCCCCTTCCCTAAGCCCCACGCACAGACCCCCTTATTTACCCCCTACCCTTCCTCTAGCAAGTTGTTTCAGCTATGTCTGAGCCGCCGTTAATATTGTACCGTCGCCGGAGTACCCCGTCGAGTGGACGCCGCGTTGTTGCGTTACACCACTCCTGCACGAGTTCAATGGCAGCTGGCAGGAGCGGTACAACTCCGTGAGTGCGCAGGGCGTCGGCGTAGCGCCGCAGCAATTCGCTGCTCTCTGCATCCGGTTCAAAGCCACTTTCAATCCCGCTGCTACAACTACTGTCATTATTAACATTGTGGTGTGTGTCTGTTGTGGAGTTCTGCGGGAGAAGAGCGCGAAGAGACGCGGGGAGCGTCCAGTGGGCGGCGGCGGCGGCGGCGGCGACAATCGCGAGCGCGAGGGCCGGCGGGCGGTGGGCGGACGCTCGCGACTCGCGGAGCATCACGTCGGCGAGAAGCCGCGACACCCGCTGGACGTCCGCCCACCGCAGCCCCTCCACGCCCCCCTCCGGTCCACTACCATCACTATTACTATTACTACTATAGGGGAGAAAAGTTGTGGTGGTGTTAGTGGTAGTAGTAGTAGAGAGAGGGCATTCCCATCGCTTGAGAGCACTGCGGCGCTGAACGGCCTCCATGGTGCGCTGAATAGCCGGTCCACTACAGAGGTGCAGCAACATTTCGACAATCTCTAATGTTGTAACGGGCTGGAGGCGAAAATCCAGGGTCTCAAGTACGTGCATCTCGTAACGAAGAAAGTCCATTTCTGTAATACGGGACTCCGGTCGAAGACAGCGCAGAAATGATTTAATAGGAGGAAAGAAACGATCTACTTGTTTACAACCTAACATGGCACAAGCAAGAAGAACCCCACTGAAATATGTAGAGTCACGAACCACATTCTGTGAACGACAGAGAAAAACATCAAGATATGCAGTGGAAACATGCGCCGCTTCGCGTGAACCGCCGAGGGAAGATATGATATCATCTATAGAGTTCACCACAGCAAAGCGACTAACCTCATCCCATCCATCGGTCCAGCGTGCCCAGGCGCCTACAACGTCAAAACGGTAGCGTTCCTCTTGTTCAAAAAGGAAAAGAAGTGCACTCCAACGAAGTGATAAATCTGTAGATGTGGAAGTTGTCCCTGAAGAAATGGAAGAGTTATTACATACACAAGATTCGTTTCTTTGATCAAGAAAATTTGAGTCATAAAGAGGGTCCCGAATATTTCTTGCATCCGAAGCGACAGTAGAATCAACGTCATGCCGAGGGGGCTCTAAGGGAACATTCGGTGAGACAAGGGATGCCTCTTCATTCACATCATTACAACTACGTGTTTTAGAAGATACCCCACCACTCTCCAAATCACTATGTGAGAGTGTACCAGTCACACAGTCACACCATTTTTTCTCAAACTGATTAAATGTAGCACCAAGCAATGGAGTAAAGGTTTTGAAAAAAATATCTTGTAACTGATCCTTCGAACTTTGTAAAATACGTTGTGCTGCTATTTCTTCATCAACTGGAATTCCAGCTTCGTTTGTAATAATACGAAGTATGGATGAGCTAAGTGGTTGATTGTACTGTTCAAGCTTTAGGGAGCTTTGCAACCCTGTTTCATTTCTGGCAACAACTTGGTACACTTCGATAGAAAATACAGTCCCAACAAGTTCTAAACGTGATGCCATTATTGCAACATCTTCACTAGAGGAATCAGAGACTTCTTGTTCTTCATCTACGACGGTGTGGGGGTGTCTGTCTGATATTATTCCAGTTACTGCACTCCCCTCCTGTTTGAGACGATTATAAACTGGGAAGTAGAATCGACTCACCTCGCAAAGTCGCCAGGGATGTATAGAAGAAGGCAATGTACCTCGACCATATATGAACACAAGCGGTACGGACCACACCCTCTCCCTCAATGCAGTGAAGTGAGGCAGAAACTGTTCATGAAGAACTCCGCTATCGTCTTGTATATCCCTAATAAGACTGTAGAGTTCCCCGTAACTACACTCCACATTTTCTCGCATCCGTAATGGTCTTTCAGTACTCTCAAGAGAATATTATTCCCCACTAATTTTATTCTTCTTCCACCACCTTAACAATTCTTCTACTTTTATGTTTATGTATGTTTGTGTATAGGTACACCAATGTTAACGCAGAAAGCAAAAAAAAAAAAAAATGAATTTCAAACATCTTTACCCACAGGTAATCAGCTAAGAAGAGTTAGAATGATTTTTTTCTTCTTTAAAAGCCCACAACATAAAACATCTAAGCAGTATTAATATTCCTTGTGTTACATTCTTTTTTTCCCTGTTCTTTCAATCGCATACACATACAAAATTTCTTTTTTTCTTTTCTTTTCTTTTCTGTACTTCTCGTTCATCTTCACCTTCAATCTCTCCCATAAAATTTATCAACGACAAAGTGAGCCCAAACTGCATAGGTAAACCCAAAAAAAGTTTCCGTTATTAAATCAATATCCAAAAGAATCTACAAATACACATCGTGTAGACTACCACCTCTTTGTGGATTCAACTCGAAGAGGCAATATACAACTCTTATGGGTAAAATGTATTCGAACGACAAACGCACCTTCTCACCGCACCACAACTACTTTTCTTGGGTTTTATAGGTTTGAAGTTCATGCAGAGTTTGGGTCGAAACATCTCTCCAAACACGTTGCACCCCCAATAACAAAAAAAAAAAAAATGAAACTAAAGTAACGAGTTGTCATACATGCATACATATAGATTCGAACTTTTGTATACTTTTTTTTCGTTGTTAAACATTAAGCCATGGGTACTCTTCTAACAACGCCTTTTCTTCCTCAGAGTCGAATGTTTTTTTAACATCCATAAACTCCAGAATATGCTTTTCATCCAAATCTAACAAAAAGTTCGCGATCACCGCTCCACATAATTCTTTCAATGGTTGTACGCCTAACTTTGTCGCCACTTCTAATACGCCAAGAAGGTGAGAAATTTCGCATGTCTCGATTGACTGTGTGAATGCTTTAGTTACACTCGCATCTACCCACTGTCCTTCTTCACAGAGTCCCCATTTCTCTTGAGGCCACTGCAACAATTGTTGAACAACGAAGCGATGCTCCCAGTCACTAAGATGGTAAAGTTCCCGCACCTGCAAAGGTCTTGAAAGTAAGGTCGGTTGACCAGAATGAGAACTACTCTCTGCAGAATCATTTTTCCCAGATGATCTCAGATCTACTGAAGCGTAGAAATGTTCCAAGTATATTATCACAGTACGAAATAAGGTAGAATTTACAGATGCCAAGGTTATCTCTTTAGAAGACATTTCTGTTTTATCCTCTAGGTCATTTTCTATGTGCTCTGAGATGAATTCAGAGCATTCTCGGAAAATGGACTGTGGACATCGGAAGACAATAGCATCTTCAAGGTGCACATCCACATAATGGCATGATGATGAAGAGTGCTGCTGCTGCTGCTGCTGCTGACTGTTATACCCTTCCTCAGCAAACACTGTTGTATAGAGCAATTCCAATGGGAAAATCAAAGAGGGAATTGACATTCGACTTCCACACTATACTTCACTGTGTTCACAAACTCCGAGAAATATCATTAATAAACATAAAAAGCAACCAATATGAAGAAGAAGAAGGAAAAGGAAGCACATTCAGAAGAAAAACGTAATAAGAATCTTCATTATCGCAGACTTAACATTTACTTCCTATTCTCTCTATCTTTCCATTTCTCTTCTTTTTCTTTCTCCTCTGATATAAAGATAATATATGGAAAAGATATGCGTCAATTTTGAGGGGATGGATGGGTGAGTGTGCAGGTGGGTCGAAGTGGCCTTCAACGGCATTTTCATCACGCAACCACAAAAAGAAGCAACGGCACAGTAAAACCACCACACACCGCTCCCCACCGCATGGGATGAAAATAAGAAACGAAGGGGGATGATAAAAAGGACTACATGAGAAGTACAACTGAAAAGGGTAAGTGGGAGGGGGAAAAAAGCAAAAAAAAAAAAAAAAAAAAACAGAGAAAACCGAACATAATATTAAAGGCCAAAAGACCCCTTCTCTCTGCAGAATACTCCCTCTGTTTTCCCCTCCTACTTCTTCCATTATTTCGCAAAGAGCGTGTACCTGGACCCTCCAACTCCCTACATCGCAAGTACATCTGTCTGCATATTACATATTAGCATTATATTTTTTTTTTCTTTTTTTTCTTGTTGTCTTTTCTCTTATCCCTTCTTTTTTTTTCCCTTGGTCTTTCAACTTCCTTCTCCCTCTTAGAATCCTCAGAGAAAGACAAGGGTTACTCAACGATGCTGATGAACACATATATATATATATTTTTTTTCTTATCCTTTTCTTCTCGTTTCTCTTCCTCATGCGCATGTTCACCCAGACCCATGGTCTGCATGGTGGGGTGAGAAGTGGATGGGGGCATTTGGATATGTAAGTGTACTAAGTTTTCCTTAGTTCTCCAGAACTTTTTGAAGCAAAAAAAAAAAAAACAATTCTGCAACTTTCAATTTGTAATGAAAAGTTGGTACCTCGTCTTTTCTTTTTCACTCTGCTTTTGGCTATTGGACCTCTCACACAATTTCCTGTTATTGCCTTTTCCCATTATTCCCCTGGTGCTGTATCAAGCTTTTTTTCGTTCGTTTTTTTTTTTTTTTTCTTTCATACTGCTGCTATTCTTTTTTGTCGTCACATGAGTGTACATGCGCATGAATATGTAACGTTGCCGTAAACCCAGAATTCTCTTCATATTGTCATCTTACCATAAGGTACGAGGAAGTGAAACCGACAAAAATTGGAGACAGTAATAGCATTAACAACAAAATAATAATAATAATAATAATAATAATAATAATAATAATAATAATAATAATAATAATAATAATAATAATAACGGTATAAATGCACTGAATGAATGGAATGCGCAAACCACCCTTCGTTCTCACGTAAACTAACAGGATTAGTCCTCGCAGACTCAGCTACACACACACACGTTGCGAAAAAAAAAGAGACAAAATATTATAGAGGACCTCCACTGGAAAATTTATATACGCTTCTTTCCCGTAGCCAAAGTACAATAATTTCCTCTACATTTAAATATGGTATAAATAGGCACTCTTTTTCTTTCTCTATCTCACCCTTCTTCATCTACCTCCGTTCCTCGCTTTTTTTCTCAGGGATGAGTCCTTTTTTTTTGCTTAATTGGTTTCCTTTTCTGGGTTTTTTTTTTTCCTCTTCATATATATATATATATGCATATAGTTTGATATGGTGTGTACGCATACTTTGTGATATGTTTTGCGACATCCTCTTAACCTCCTCTCATCCAGGCTCCGATTCTTAAAAAGCTGATTAGATTAAAGGCAGACAGTCATCCTCATCGTTATCTCTCTTCCTATCTCTCTCTCCCACGCACTCACACACAAAAAAACTCAACGCACCTACTACTCCGAAGAGTTGTTTATTCTCCTGTATTCCTTTTCTTCTTGTATTCTAGTTTTTTTTTTTTTTGTTTTGTTGTCTTTCATTGCATGGTTTTTACCGTTGTTGATCCTTTTTTTTTTTTCTTTTTTTCTTCTTATTGTAGTTCTGTTGCAACACCACCAGCTTTTATCGCTCTTATCTACGTCCACCATAAGGGGAAAAAGCAAGGCAACGTAAGTAGACGAGGAAATCAGAACATATTACCTGACATCGTACAACAGACAACAGTAACTAAAGAAGGATGAAAAAAAAAAAAAAAAAGCATAGCTCGTACTAGCACCAAGAAAAAAAAAAAAACGAGCCATATATATGTGCGCCTATCATAGCAGAAGTGTGGTGAAAAGGTTGAAGATATACATCCTGGAAGGATCTTTTTTTTTCCGTTTTTTTTTTTTTTTTTAGTTTGTGATCTAACTACGAGTTAGTGTGACCTCTCATGCGGGTTCTTTTATCAACGCCTCAAGAAGAAGAAAGCTTTGATCCATGATTCGGAGGCAATTATATATATATATATATATATCATCTTCATCTCAGCATGAAACGTCTTTTTTTTTTTTCTTACCTTTACACCTACCCTGTAGTTTGACAATTTTCACATTCTGTCAAGAGCCAGCGATCGTGGATGTTTTGTCCCTATATCATTTTGTCAACATTGTTCGTTCCTCTACTACTTTTTTTTTTTTTATCGAAGGAGGGCACACACCCATCTAATGGTTGGTGTTACCCATATTAATCAGCCTTTAAAGTGATGTGGCAACCGGGCATAGAGTCTCAAGAAAGCAGAATTTGTCTTTTCATCCTTTTTTTCCTTTTAAATTTCATACCCCCCATCCTCACCTTCTTCTTGATACGACGCGCAATATTTTTTTTTTCCTTTTTTTTTCCTACTTCTTCTCATTCCTCTTTTTTTTTTTTTTTCTTGTGTGCCACCCCTCTCTTCAACGTTTTCCTTTGAGATGTTCACCATATATCCCCACGTGGTATTTCTCCTCTTACTCCTACTCCTGTGTTTGTCCTGTCATCAGTGAGAGCAGGATAGGTAGTGGGACCCCTACCTGCTGCTGGAGGATATGGATGCGCTCGAGCTGCTCGGAGCGGGGGTCGGCGGGGTTCTCCGCTTCGTACTGCTGGAGTAAATCGGCGAACCACTGCGTGCGCTCGTGGCCCTTAAGTTGGGCCGGGGGGCCGCCCTTAAATCCCTCCCACTCCTCTGCGAGCCCCTCCTTGTTCTCCATGGCGGCGAGGACGTCGTAGCGCTTCTCTAGGACCTCCTCCGGTGTGCTGCCGGCCTTCTGCGCCATGAGACTGTAGACCTTGCGGAAGAGATTGTTTCGCGGCAGAGCAAAAGGTCCGGGGACCACTTCAAAATGTTGCGTATCGGCATAGTCCACCCCACTCTTGAACTGCACAATCACACAAGAGACGTTGTCGCGGCTACCACGATTCACGGCCTCTTCACATACCTTACCTGCTATGACAGCAAGATCATCGGATGACTCCAGCTGCTCCTTGATAAATGTCACCACCTCTTCATTGGTAAATTGTCCTTCAAAAACACCATCACAACATAACACGGCGAAATCCTTGTTGCCCCAGGAGACATCCACGTGAGTGACATCTGGAAGTGCAATCACTTTCTGTTGTAGTTGGCTACCACCAGAGTTCGTCTTGTAGTCACGATCTCCAAAGGCGCGGCTCACAGCTAGACTTCCGTCCACGCGGTTACCCTCCACACGACCACCACAATCTTCAATACGACGGCGTTCTCCTTCATTGTTTGGCTTGTGGTCTTCCGTCATAGCCCTAGCGAGACCATTAACACATACCAAAACGCGTGAATCACCAACGTTGCCAACTTGTAGATGAATAGAGTTTTCCTTTTTCATGGCAGCAAAAAATGTTCCAGTACTGCCTCCCTCTTGACCTAAATCCATCCACTTCTTGTCAATTTCGAGAGCAAGCTCCTTCATGCGTTCATCAGTCATGGGCATTTTTTCTTTATCAAGAGCTTCTTTCCATGCATTTTCCAAATATTCTGAGCACTGATCGTTTACATGACCATCAAAGACGCCAAAGAAACCCCATGAAGGTTGTAGATAGACAATATGTGCATCTTCCATACTCTCACGGTATCCATTGACACAGCTAGAGCCGATGCGGAATATTTCATTGCCATGGCGCTCCCGCAGCTCAGTCATCACAGGCTTCGGCAGTGGTATACCCATTTTCTTTTTTTTTTTTTAAGTGTTCCGGCTTAAGAGATAAATTTCTGGTTTATTTCTTTTTTTTTCGTTCTTTTTGGAGGTTTCTATCTCTGTTTCAAATTCCTTTGCTTTCCTTTCTAAGAAACGGTAGTTCAGAATGAGAAAAAAAAAAAAAAATATATATATATATATATATTTCAATATCACAACTTAAAAAAAAGAAAATGCACAGTAAGAGCAAATTTTAACACATTCTTATTATTCTTTAAAAACAACTTCAGTTTAAGAAATGGATTTGAAATTTCTTTTTTTAAAAAAAAAAAAAAAAAACAAAGCCAATGTCTCAACTACTACCTTGTACTCAAAAACACAAACGCATACACGCGATATATATATAAAAAAAAAACTACTAGGTTATTTATCGTATTATCTCGTAAAAAGGAATTGAAGGTCATCTTCAGAAAGGCTTTGAAGTGAATTCAACTTTCCATCAATTGTACCTTCAATAACAAGCATCTTTTTAGCCTGCAAATCCATCATGCGTTCCTCAACAGAATGCTCTGTGACAAAGCGGACCACACGAACTGGTCTTTTTTGCCCAATACGATGCGCTCGTTGCGCTGCCTGCATTTCTACCGCCGGATTCCACCAAGGATCTACAAGAACAACATGATTAGCAATCTGCAAATTTAAACCTTCTCCACCTGCTTTTAGTGAAATAAGAATTACGCGAACGGTAGGATCATGTAGAAAAGCTTGTAAAACAGCTTGTCGTTGAGACATCATAAGAGAACCAGTAAGTTTCACAGTTTTTATACAAGCTTTTTGCAACCATAGTTGTAGAAGGTCTAACATATCTCCAAATTGTGAAAATACAATTACCTTTTCTTCCTTTGGTACTTTAGAAATATATTCAGTGATGGCATTTAATTTTGTACCATGCAGAGGTTTAGACGAATCAATTCGAGATAATATACCCTTTGGTTTTTTAGATTTCTTTGGATTCTCTTCTGTTGTAGTAGATGACGTACTTACCTGCATATTAGTATCAGGGAATAAATTATCCTCTAACTCATCACTCATTTCTTCTTCCAACTCAGGAGGAAGAACAGGTATGGCTTCCTCTTCCTCCCATTCAGAATGCAACTGACGTAAATCAATACTTATTGTTACAAAACAGGTGGGGCAATGATACTTTCCTCCTGGTAAACTTTCCAAAAACTGAGAGAGACAAATTTGGTGAAATGTATGATTACAAGGACTAACTTTTAAAGGGGTTTCACCACAACCTTCTGTGCAAATACCACAAAGACCTTTCGGATGTGCCAATTTCCCAACATTCATTGATTCTACCACGAGTAAAGGATGATCAAGAGATTGTCGTAATCGGCTCAAAAGTTGAAAAATATGAGCATAATTATGCAAAACCGTTCCTTTATCCACAAAAGTATCAAATGTAGCAGTACTTTTCTTGTACAATGACTCATAGAAATTTCGTTCTTCTTCTGTTAATTTTACTTTAATAATTTCAACAGTAAGTGGTGGAAGATGAAGATCCTCTGCTCTTTCTATTTTTGTGCGACGCAACATAGATTTTTGAAGAACTTCATTTGCTAGCATCATCATCCCACGACGTCCATCTCCTATATATCCATAACGTAGTATAGGATTTAATATATAACGATTAAAATAAGCGTAATGTTGTACTGGTCCATGACCACAAAATATACAATGTCTCAAGTTTGTACCACTAAATGGATGAGAAAAAGAAGAGCAAGAGCAACCATCAGTTCCACAATAATATCTTGCATAAGGTATCATACGTAGAAAGCGAACAAGACTGTAAACATCACCGACACGATTTTGTAGAGGAGTTCCTGTAAGACACCATCTTTGTTCCCCTACAAGAGCAAAGGCCGCTCTTGAAGTACTTGTATTACGTCCTTTTATGCGATGAGCTTCATCAAGAACTATCCGACTCCATTTAATTGAATGAAATATAGATTCAGAAAGATCAACTTCATCTCCACCAATATCAGTTTCAATAATTTCCGTCATACGTTCTGACACCACATGATGTTGTCCAGTTTTAGGACAAAAAGGATATCGCAATATTTGAAATTCACAATTTGGACAACGAAAAAGAGAAAGATTCTGTTCAGATTTTTCTTTTTCTTCTTCAATTGAATCAACATCTGATTGTATTGAACTATATTCTGAAGAACTACTAAATTCTTCATCATTAGTATCACTACTGTCACTTTTTTCTTTAGCAGGATCCCATCGACTTCGAACTTTTCGTCCAGCCTCGATCATTAGTTCTCTATACATTCCGATAGGACCAACAATTCTTTTATCACCATTACTTTCCTCTTCATAAAAAAAATTTTCTTCTTCACCATTATCACCAACATCAACTCGTAACGTTCGAAGTCCTTTTTTAATTGTTTCTTTCGATTGAACTTTCCGATTAAAAGAAGGATTATCATTATTATTTTCTCCCTTTTCTCGTTTTCGTTGTTTAGCCGTTTTTTTTGCACGTGGACCACAAAAATACCTATTATGTACTACAAGCTGTCGTGGAAGATAAAGTTGTTCACAATAAGGGCATGCCACTTTTGTTTTATTTACAAGAAGTCGCCAAGATTGTTCTAGCATAGGATAAGTTGTCAAAACAACATCAGCTTTTTCCAAATCCTCCTTATTTACACGAGAAGCTCGTTCTACCACTAATACTGAAAGTGATGCTGGAATAACATATTCTTTAATTTCGGTTGCCCACTGAAGCATTGAACTAACAGGACAAACCACCAGTGTAGGTCCTACCAAACGATTTGCAAGAAAAAGACTAATCATCTGTATTGTTTTTCCCATTCCCATCTCATCAGCTAAAATCCCGCCCTTTATATTAGACTTTTCCTGATTTACCATCCAACCCAGTCCCTCTTTTTGATATCTAAGAAGCGGACGCAATAATTGCCGAGGTGGTTCAACTTCAGGAAGAAATCCTCTCTTTATCAAATCTTCTGGATCCAAAGGAAGCAAATGTGAAGGAATTCGAGAAGAAGTTACTTCTTCCCATACTTCTTTCTGTTCTTGTAAAGACAAGTCAGAAAATCCAAAAACAAAATCAGTCGTATCGTTTTTTTCAGATATCCGTGTGCAACCAATATGTTGCCAAGCTGTTATCCAACCATACTCACCATGGGAATGACGAATAGGGATTCCCCACTTAAGATCCCCTTTTGTAATATACTGAGAACACCTTCGGCATCGAGCCCTCATCGTCGGTGCCCGCTGTATTATATACCGTAAAACCTTATCATTTCCTTTAGCTGGACGCCACACTCCTTTTTCTGTAATGGTTAAAATAGCATTACTAGTATTATTGCTCATATAAAAAAGAAAAACAACTTCATGAAAATATATCCCAAATAATTACAGCTTAGAAAAAAAAAAATAATAATAATAAACAAATAAAAAAAGAAAAAAAAAGAAAAAAAAAAGGAATAAAATAAATAAATAAATAAATAAAACCATAAGCCAAGCAAAATAACGAGTAACCTCAAAAAGTAAAATTCGTCATCAGTTTTTGCTTAATATAAAAAAAACTTTTTTTTACATAAAAAATAAAATTAATGCCTTATCGCTCAACAGCATTTTTGAAACTGAGAATTTGGTCAATGCCCATAGCTGAAACAACAATGACCAATACATCTTTGCCTGCTTCAAACTGCTCCTTGATTTGGGCCGCCAATTCGGCATTTGGGGGCATGTCAAGGTTGTCACGAGTCTCACCTTCATCATCCATAAGGGAAAGGTGCGCTGGCTTGCTGGGGTCTTCACGGTCCTCCTGAATATCCAGAATGCTGTAAGTTGCAGTCTTCACGAACGGAACCTCAACATTATGAGTACTGGGAGCCTGATCTTCCATCTTATTGCCAGTGAAAATATCAGTGGCAACAATACTGACCTTAGCATGTCCATGTTTACCTGTTTTCGACACAGAAAGGTCGATTACCTTGCATGGACGTCCGTTGATACAAATATAACCTCCCTTCTTAAGAGCACCGGCCTGCATAGGATAGGTCAGGGATCCGGTCTGTTCACCACCCTGAGGTGCGAAGTGTCCCTCGTCGTCAGACATTGCTCTGGAAAATAATATAAGGCTTGATAAGGAAAAAAAAAATTCATCATAAAATAGAAGAGAAAAACAATTAATCTATTATTATATTTTTTAGTCTCAAAAAAAAAAAAATTATGTAAAGGTATAATTTCATATATAGAAAAAATTAATAATGCATAGGCCGAGAACAAAAACATAAATTAAAATTATTTAAAGTATAAAATTTTTAGTTACCTTGATTATGTTATAAAATTGGCCCATTTATCTTATCGCTCAACAGCATTTTTGAAACTGAGAATCTGATCAATGCCCATAGCTGAAACAACAATGACCAATACATCTTTGCCTGCTTCAAACTGCTCCTTGATTTGGGCCGCCAATTCGGCATTTGGGGGCATGTCAAGGTTGTCACGAGTCTCACCTTCATCATCCATAAGGGAAAGGTGCGCTGGCTTGCTGGGGTCTTCACGGTCCTCCTGAATATCCAGAATGCTGTAAGTTGCAGTCTTCACGAACGGAACCTCAACATTATGAGTACTGGGAGCCTGATCTTCCATCTTATTGCCAGTGAAAATATCAGTGGCAACAATACTGACCTTAGCATGTCCATGTTTACCTGTTTTCGACACAGAAAGGTCGATTACCTTGCATGGACGTCCGTTGATACAAATATAACCTCCCTTCTTAAGAGCACCGGCCTGCATAGGATAGGTCAGGGATCCGGTCTGTTCACCACCCTGAGGTGCGAAGTGTCCCTCGTCGTCAGACATTGTGTTAGGAGAAAATAGAACTGTGGAATAAGAAAAAAAAAAAAGAAATTGATGTTTATAGAGAAAAACAAAAGAAAAAAAAAAAAAAAAAAAACATGACGAAACACAATTTATCTTAATAGAAAAACCTTTTTAAAACATAAACAAAAAATTAATGCCTTATCGCTCAACTGCATTTTTGAAACTGAGAATTTGGTCAATGCCCATAGCTGAAACAACAATGACCAATACATCTTTGCCTGCTTCAAACTGCTCCTTGATTTGGGCCGCCAATTCGGCATTTGGGGGCATGTCAAGGTTGTCACGAGTCTCACCTTCATCATCCATAAGGGAAAGGTGCGCTGGCTTGCTGGGGTCCTCACGGTCCTCCTGAATATCCAGAATGCTGTAAGTTGCAGTCTTCACGAACGGAACCTCAACATTATGAGTACTGGGAGCCTGATCTTCCATCTTATTGCCAGTGAAAATATCAGTGGCAACAATACTGACCTTAGCATGTCCATGTTTACCTGTTTTCGACACAGAAAGGTCGATTACCTTGCATGGACGTCCGTTGATACAAATATAACCTCCCTTCTTAAGGGCTCCGGCCTGCATAGGATAGGTCAGGGATCCGGTGTGCTCACCACCCTGAGGTGCGAAGTGTCCCTCGTCGTCAGACATTGCTCTGGAAAATAATAAAAGGCTTGATAAGGAAAAAAAAAAAATTCAAAATACGTAAGGTAGGACATAAATGTCAAAAGAAAAAAAAATAAAGTAGACAAATTAATTAATAGAATTATAGAATTAAAAAAAACAAATAAAATAAATAAATCTGAATAATTGCAAACCGATCTCAAAACGATCACGGCCACCTCCTCAAAAAAAAAAAAAAAAAAAAAAAAAAAAA